ACGTAAGAAACAGGAGAATGATACCCAACTTTTGAGGAAAACCAATTGAGAAGGAATTCTCAAAAGCTGAATTATTGTGAAAGATAAAACAGGAGTTAGGAGGTAATTACTAACAAGCAATAGATTTTCTTCCATCTATATTGAGGCTTATCATATAAATAAGTGTTCCTTATTACTCTTTGGCAACTGCTTATGGGTGATTCAGTCATTTAAAAACTCAACAAAAGGGATTACAAAAATCCCTGGCAACCAGAGAATTCCTCTAACTAGAAGTGGTGATAAATTATAGAGATATTTGATTTTAATATAACATCTGCAAATGACAGATGCATTTTCATATAGTTTCCAGTGCCATTCCTTTACTAAAAATAATGCTAATAACAATAATAATAAATTATGAAAATAGAACATACCACAAAAATTCATTTTAGTTGTTCAGTAAATTCTAATTTTCAATTATCTTTTCCAAATACATGTTTCTTTGTATACTCAAAAGCTAACTGACTTCCCTTAGAATTCCCCAGAGTATTTTAAAGTTCATTTTTCAATTCAAAAAAGTTATTTGGTTGGGATTGGGATAGATATTTAAGAAAACGATACATTTGAAATTAAAAAAAAAAGAAACTTACGTAAGTGTGTTGCAAAGTCACATACTCTCCTTATATAATGAGGCCACATGAGTAACCTAAAAATAGTTCCTTTCAAACACAAATACCAACACTAGGCTCCTCTTGACCTCATACATGCAAGTAGTCTTGAGACTTCTGGCACATTAGCCTTCTGCCAGCATCTCTGGGTGTGTGCTCCAGAAAAAGGTCCTGGACTGTGTCATCCTAAAGAGGGATACATGTCCAGGGCCACTATGTATCTGTACATGTGCATACACATACAAATATTGCCAAAGCTGCAAGAGGGTCAGATATCATTTGGATAGAACCCTATTAAGAAAAGTTCTGGGCATCTAGGACAAGAGAACCCAATCAGCTTTTTAATCCCTGAAGGGACTGTAGAGAGGCCTTAATCCCTATCCTGAATTTTACAGTTGATAAAACAAAGGTCCAGAGAAATTCAGAGACCTGCCCAAGACACCCACCCCCTAGCGGCCGCCTTGGAATTGGATTGTTGAGGTCTCATCTTCTATTATCCTTTCCTTCTTATATTCTCAGAAATGATTGAATCATCATTATTTTTTTCTCCCATGCCACATCTACCAAGGTGAGTAAGTAGAGTATGGGGGACATCAATTCATTTTTCATTTATAAAAGTGACACTCTGGTTGAGGTGATGAGGAGGGACTCTTTACCAAAATTTCCTTTTGTCTTATTCCTAGCCAAGGCTACTTGAGAATATCTTTCCTTTGGTCAGATGGTTACCAGTCAGTCACTAATGAGGGCAGAGATAAATATGACCCCAAATACCACAACTCTCACAAATTCATAAAGGCAAACACTATATAAACACCGATATCGCCTTCTAGACATTGAAAGATAGGGAAAGCAATATGGGTACTTACTGTAGTGAGGGGGCTTTGTGAATTATTTTCCTAAAAAATGAATGGGACATTTTCACAAACCCCTTAAAGTCACTTACTTTCTGCCACACATGCCAGCCTTCCCTGGATAGCTGACTTGGTAACACAAGTAGGAAAAAAAACCCTTAAGTCTGACAATAATGCATTTTGACCAAAGGACAACTGTGTCAATATTTATAGAAACAGATTTACTTTGAAAGTGATTTAACAATGAAATGATGCTTCAAAGCATGCTGCTTTAAAAAAAAAATTTAAAAAAGGAGTTCAATACAATGCTCAAAAAGTAAGCAGGCCCCTTCAGCCGTGAGGGGTTTATATACTCCCACAAGCACACTCACAATTCAACATAACATTTCACAAATGCTGTATATTATTAAGAGGCCAATTCTGCCAGGCACATAATTTGTATATTTAAGGGAGGTGTATGGAATGAAAAAAGCAAAATATGTTGAATTTCAAAGGACTTGGAAGCAATGCTGCCTGTGAGCTTGTATTACAAATAGCCCTACATTATTATATACGCTATTAATGAGACTGAGTGAATGAAAGTACAATTTGAATATGCATGACTCTATCCAATAAGCAGGACTTTTGTTTACTGATGAGGTTCCCCCCTCTCCTAAAAAAGGATTAAAATCATTCTGAGAGAAGTATGGTTGACCAGAGATCAGTAAAATAAATATATTTAGACCACCAGATCATACTGTCTTCAGATGAAATACACAGGTGCTATGAGAAAGCCTTTGACTCCGCCTACTATTTCTGAAACTTACATATAGGCTGTCTTCCTAAAAGGAATATTCCTCAACTTCAACCAGCTGCATCATTACAATCTCTAGACAAAAATAATGATTTTGGTGGAGACATGTAAAAGTAGGCGAGGTTAAATAAACCTTTTGAGTACAAAGCCTTCACTTCTATAGTACAGAGCACTAGTTAAAAGACTGGGGAATGGGTAAATTATTGCACCAAATGGCTGAGAATTAATCTCTGCTGACTAGCTGTAATCTAACGAGGCGGCTGTGTCCCAGGGAGCCCGCAGCATGTCCCTGGCGGTATGTGCAGTGTGTAGAGTCTGCGTGGCACCCTTTGTCCTCGCTCACAGGCGGCCTTTCCCCTCATTGTCCATAATATCCTCATGCATCTGGGACGCGTGGAATGCATTCATACTAACAGACTTACCATTGTTTTCTCTTAGAAGCTTTGTTGAGCAAAGACTGCATCACGGTTACTGATAATTATATTGCTTAATTAATCAAGACAAAAAAAATTTGCAAATCATTGCCTGGTTGCCAAGCAGGGAGATAAAAAATGACAACAATACAAGCTGAAGCAATATAACAAAAGTAACAGCTATCTGATCAGAAATTCTTATATAATGAAGCTATTAATGCTAAATCGGTTAATGTTAACATTGCTCCAGGTGTCTCTACTTAGATGCAAACAAAAAGGCTAACATTATGGATATAAAAGGCCAAATGTTGCCATGGATTCTGTAACCTGATAGAGAGGACAGCCTTTTCATTTGATTAGGGAATGCAATTTAAATACCAGGGACTGAAGCCAAACAAACAGACTTTCCCTCCGAAAGCCTCTTGCATTCACCCTGGGGTCAGTGGTTGGTGAACAAAAGGTCAGCCACACTTGCCCTGGAAATGTCTGGATTAATTTTATTACATTGTAATGGTTTGTACTTTAAATGTAGGGATAACACTAAATTTCCAGTTGCCCATTATTCTCTTCTTCCCTTTAGGCTTTTTGAATTAAAATACTAAGAAAGCAATTTGCTCAATTCATCCTTGTCAGAATTTATGACCAAATTTATAAAATTTACACACATTTTGTAGGAAATTTTAAAAGGTATGTTAAAGATTGCTTTTATGCATTTTATACTACTTTTTAAAAAATCACCTTGACACTATTAAGAAAATTGAAATGCCTTTTGTGTTATTTATTTCAAAAATAAAGACAACATTTTAAGGACATTAAATGACATTTCTAGAGGGCATATTGAAAAATGAATTAATAAAGCCAGTTAATCCAAATTAAATATTAAAGAAACATATTTTCTAGTTTGGAAAGCTACAAAATACTAAATTTATTGGTTCTGTAATATTAAAATTTTCACTTTAATTCTTAAAATTAAAGCAGTGCTCTTTGTGAACAAATAAAAATGTGAGTACCATGCCATTTCCTTATAGTATGACTGAAAACATACCCAAACTTCATATCTCTAAAGATAATACAAATATTCAATATAAAATTTTGGCATCTTTATTCCATGAATAAAAAAGAGTTCTCCTTATATTAGGCTGTGAATCAGCCACAGTAGGACTTTCCTGGTGGGAACTGACCCACATTTACCTAGTTTGAGAATTAATCTACGTGTTAAACTTGGAATTCATTATTGATTTTATTCCTGTGAGAGTAACAAAAAATACCAATAGAAATGATAATGATATAACAATTACAACAACAGCTAACAAAGTAGCTTTTTCTCTGGACCAGGTACAGTTTGAAGCACTTTTTCCTTATTAGCTTATTTAACCCTTACAAATGTAACAATTTAGATTTGAAATCAATTTGAACAATAAATTTCAGTGATTTATTATTTTGAATATTAAAAATAGACAGCTTTTAGAATGGTAAGTTTGATCTCCTTCAGGAGAACAATTTAGAATGAAAATAAAAATTATATTTAATATCAAACTGAAAAATAGAGGTCATTTTTCTTAAGGAGTGGGTTTAATATGCTAAATGTTTAATTTAAAAATTTTTAAAAACATCTTAATAATTACAAAACCAAAATAAATCACTGTATAAAGCACTGTTAAAATACCACTAAAGGCATGATAAGGATGAAAACTGCAGCCAATTTAGTACATGGGATCCAGACCATTGGATTGTTCCAGCCATTCTGGTGATCAATACCAACAGACATGGCTGAATTGATTCTGTGATAAGGTGCTTCGATTGTTAATACCCATCACATGGGCTGTGCTGTAGAGGCTAAGTCTCTTTGCAGTCTCTTTGGCTGCTATCCTTCAGGACTGACCTCTCTTAGCACAGTCCAGGTTCGTCAGACAAAGTTGGATTCTATATCCACATTTATCCCTAAAATGCTAGTTGTGAAAACGGGCTTTCTTCAACTGTTATTATTAATCAATGTGTCCAAAATTTAAAATTATAATCTTTTAAATTACAAAATTTTCAAAACAAGATATTTTTAAAAAAATCATAAATTTCTTTGATTTTCAGAGGCCTAGTAATACAATATGGAATTTTGTGCTTATAATGAAAGATACTTTGCAAATCCCAATTCATATTAAATTCTTATATGGCACATATAATTTGGAGATATGTAAAAAATCTAGCAGTTGGGAAAAAAGTCCCCTTTAACATTATCATATGTTTTGAGACAGTGAATTATATGATAAATGGTCTGGGCAACAACGTGGAGAAAACATACCTCGGGTTTCTTCGTTATGGCTATAAAGAACATGTGATTCTTCATTGGGTAAATAATGATTGAAACATCTCCAAAGGCGGTTGGGATAATACCCCTGCGGTAGTCCCTGGAGTGTTCAGACCAGACGATGTGGACCTCGTCATTCCCCAAGTGACGGAGCTGCAACAGCAAATTGGCTCTTTATTAATCAAGGTGATAACAGCAGTTTATGAGGGGTCATGGTTTACAAATTGAATTATAAAACACAGAGGAAAAAACTTTTACTACCTAAAAGGCTACAACACTGAAGTCTTCTATGAGGATTTTAAAAAGCACAATTCTGTGAAAATACCACTTACCTTCTATGAAATACATATGGTACTAAGAATCATATCCAAGCACTGAGGATGTGTTGTGGGCTGGATGGGCCCAAGACCTTTTCAAGGATTTTTTAAATGGAATTGTACCTCTGCATTGAAGCCATATGCTTTATATGGCTGAGTATGTTTCAAAAACAATTAATGATACGAGTTTTTTAATCCATATTACATTAGCCTCTTAATGGTTATTAACAAAATAAGAATATAAACATAAGAGAATATAAGGCATTATAACACAATTGTTAAAAAACATAAAAGAAACTAGTCTTGTGACAAATATTTAAGAAAAAGAACATATAAAATTATCTTTATTTAGGAAACTAATAAATGTTAATTAAATTTCATAGGAACACTAGAACCTAGCATTGAAAAAGCTCCCTATCATACAGACAGTGTGTTTAATCTTCCCACTAACTCTCTCAGGTATACTACACCATCTTTATCTCCTCTTACCAGGAGGAACCATGTGCTCAAGAAGTCAAAGGTTGTGCCTACTCAAGGTTGCGTGAACAATACATGTGGAGTGGGCCTGGGAACGTTGGCTGGAGCTTCTGGTTCAGAGTATTTGTTCTGTTCCCTGGATATCTAAGTCTACACCAAAAGCTGCTTTGTTGCCATCACTCAAGCAGTTTTGCCCACTTGTTTTATCATCTCATACATAAAGGGTCTATAAAGTCCCCAAACAAATCACAGACTTCTAGTCATTTTGAAGAGGCCTTAGCAGATAGGTCCAGGAAAGGACCCTCTGAGAGTTTTTCCAGGGTCCAACTCTTGTTAAAGCCAAGAATACTCTTGGTAAATCTCCTGAGTGATAATCACACTCTACCAAGCTGGAGAACACTGCATATGACATCAGTTGAGAAGCCTGAAAGCATGACTAAAAAAAAAAAAAAAAAAAAAACTAGGTTATAAAGATAAAAATGTTGGACCAAACTGAATTCTAAAACTGAAGGCTGACTGGTGAAAGTCCTTTTGACACCCACTGTGACCGGTGAAGTTTCTGTTTCTGACTTGCAGCAGCAGCAGGACACTACCTATCAACACGAACAAGCATTTTTTTGTTTGTTTGTTTTCTTATCTAATAGTGGAACATCAAAAGTGACCAAATAGAGATATTGTGTTTCAGTCTTGTCTCAGACCAAAAAAAAAAAAAAAGATACTCTGGAATACTCTGTATTTAAAACATGTTAGAATAAATACTATTTTCTTTACAGACTATTTGGCCACAAAGGGAAAATCCAAGGTGACTCTAATGTGGCCTCTCTTCTATTTATAAGGTTACAAAGGGAAGTTGTTTGCTGTGATGTCTGCTTATTCTTCACTCTCTCATACTTCTGGGAATGACTGTACAAGTCATTACTTAAAAAATATCTGCATCTGTCCCTTCATACCTACACTGAGGGTGCATGATTCAATTGTGTCTGAGGATGGGCTCTAGGACAAGTGCAATTGCAGGAGTTGAACACTTGATGTAGATGATGACTTTCTAAATTCAAAATTACAGTACATCTTTTTCTTCTTTCCCCACTCTCCCACAGCCCCCTCACAAATATTATAGCCAAAATAAGAGCAGGCAAAAGGCATATCCAGCCCATTACACAAATAGTTTTAAAAACAAAAAACAAACAAACAAAAAAGACAACACTGGATTCTCATAATAGCCCTGGTAACCCTGGACATCTCACTTCATTCCCATCATTATTTCATTTCATTGTTTTATAGTGAATGGAGATCAAACCCAGGGCCTCACATTTGCTAGGCAAGTGCTGTTCCCCTGAGCTACACCCAAGCTCTACTTCCATCTTAGATACTATACCTTCGCCTTCTTTCTCCTTCTTAATAAACTATGTGAGGACCTTACAACAGACTCCTACAACTAATTCTTTTTAGAGTAAAAACACAGCAGCCAACACTGTCAACAACACAAGCAAGATAGGCAGGTTTCCACATTTTAAGAGAAATGCGCATAGTATCTAACTGAAACTCTGACAGGAATTTGGAGCATTAGAAGTTAATCTTGAGAAATGGGGTTGTTCTGGAGCTCAGAACTGCAGCCCTCATCCTGAAAAGACGGTGACATTGGGACCCATTGGTATAACAATGGCACAAACATCTGAATGGGAACAGCTCACCTACCAAAAACTTGGGATGTTACTCTGGATGCCAGCATCTAATACCTGTGTAGCTCTTTGATCCACTGTAACTGAAGTGATAACAGTGATTGCTGAAATTTCGCTGTTACTCTCTCCTTTATAAACTGGTTACTCAATCACATAACCCAAGTAAGCCTCTCCTAATTTTATTTGCAACTGTATTCTAGAGCCACAACACAGGGGATTAGTATCCCACTAATAGACCCTTCCTTCTAGTGTGGTGATTCTATAATTTAGGAGGAGCTGTTTTTGTGCGATAATAATGCAGTACTCATCATTTCAGTGCTGCTTTCAATGTCATGCACCTCAGACTTCTGGAAGCATTACAATTTAATTAACTAAATCACAAAACTAAAAGCTAAGGCCATGGGACCAATTGGCTGATAAATCTAGAGCATAAAGCAAAATTACACCCTCTTCTGCCTATGACAAGAACACAAGTAGGTAAGACAAATAAAATTGATCTGGACAAAGTGTTCACCATGTTATAACATAACAAAAACCCTAGAAACCTTAAAGTCTTACTCTATTTAAAGGAGATTTTAGTATGTTACTTTGTGAGTTTTGCAGAGTTTTGATTAGGGGCCCTCCAATTAGAAACCCACCTGCCATTCGGCTCAGGGCACACAAGTCAAGTTGATCTGATGTGTGTGTGATTCAGGGGGAGACTGATGAGTCTCCTACTGGCATGGAGCTGGCATTCACACTGGTCCTTGCTTCCATTGCACAACAGACTGCAGAAAGCCCTAATGTTCATTGGGCTTACAACAAATGCCCACTTCTTCAGTCTCAAGAAATCAAGCCCATGTGCTGCCACTTCTTGTCTTGATAGAGTTCTAAAGTCCCTCCACCCTAGCCATTGTGCCTGCTGCTGCCAGGCTGCACGCCACTGGTGACACTGGTCATGGTCCACACCTAATAGGCTGACCTCCTTTCCCTACTAATTGCATTACATCGCCAGCTGGCTCCAGAAGGAGTCGTCTGTTTGATTGAAGAATTCCTGCTCCTCAGTGGGCCCGGCTGCTACTTTTACTAAGTAACAGTCAAGCCTGACATCCCCATTGTTCAGCTGACAGTGTGCCCATCCTAAAATCTAAGTTTTATTTGTAAATTAACCAAGAAACTTCCTGCCAGAACAGCACTGCCTGGAGACTGATAATGTGGGCCTTTCATCCCTTTTCACTCGTACTGTATCACTGCCAATTTGTTTTTTATGCGGCTGGCCAGCCTGAGGCTATAAAAGCCTTGTAAGACATAAGTGCAATTATAGTCCTGGAGTCAAATGAATTGGACAAATCCAATAGCACAGCTCTGTCCCCACTCTGCAAACCCCTACAGCAGTTAGATTAGCTGTGAAAAATCTAATCTAGCTAGAGCTAACAAATATCTGCAGTGAAGGATCAAGAGTTCAGTATGGGGTTGCAACCGGATTGCAGAATTGAAAAAGTCCCCCCATGACAGGGGCAGAAGAGAGCATGAATCACTTTAGAATTTTGCAGCTCATTTTTAAGCTGTTAGGAACAATTTAGTTAGAATAAGACAAGGAACTGTGGGCCTTTGTTACTATGATTTTTAGTCTAGCTGTGAGACATCCTGTTGTAGAGAGTTTATTGCTAATGATGCTAAACCTTAGAGCTGCAAAAGGTATCAGCTGAATTTTGATTATTATAGTAGGGAATCTTTCAACCAGGCCAAGATTTGGAACATTATTTATAGCATGACATTTTGGTCAAGAAAACAGTATGTCTTTTCTCATAAAAACAAAACCAAACCATGCCTCTTTACTTAAAGAAATACCTTCAAAATATTTTGTTATCTTTTAACAAAATAGCTTTCTACCATAAGAAAATTAATAAAATATGGTGACACATTTGCAGAGTAGCATAAATTTACAAGGTACCTCAACTTAAAAACAAACAAACATGATCATTCCTTCAGGGCTCAGTAAGCTGCACTAGACTTTGAGATACCAGAGAGGTCCCAGGGGATGAAGTCCCTTCCACTAGGGGAAGCCATCAGAACCTAAGACTTGGAGGTAGTTCCTCCAATGCCTGTGGGAAACAGCATGTGGCCCACACCTTTTGTTGTGGGGCTCTCATTTTCTGAAAGACACTAAACCATGTGGGACTGAGGGATGAAAGCCTGATAAGTTTCTCAATGCAAATCAGGCTTTACACACATCTGAGATACTTGATCATTATGAAAGTTTTCTGTGATTGAGCCATGACTTGAGTTTTGATACCCCACATGCACTGCTTCATGTATACCAGGTACATAGTCCAGATGTCTGTTGCTGCAATGGTGAAAAAACAAAACCACAGAGAAATAAAATATAAAAGGTACAGTAGGACCTATCAGCTATTGCTCATCTGACTAATGGGGGAGGGGAAAACAATCAGTTAAACCAATGGGCAAAGCCAAGGGCTGATGGTCACAGAGATCTTACCACGTACCATGCTGAATTTTACAGAGCATCCTCTCATTCACTTTGCTCAACTACCCTGGGACATAGGCTCTGCTTTTAATCTTATTTAATAGATGAAAAACAGGCACAGGTGGATAAAATAACTCAATACTTGAGCTCAGGTCCACCTGTCTGCAGAGTCTGGCTCTAACCCCATCCTTAGACTCCCCATTTGTTGGTCTTAGCACCTAAGGTGCTATACTCAGTTCCTTGCATGAGAACAGATGAGTACAAATCACAGCTGTTCTGGGATGTTTCTCTCATCTGGAAACTTACAGGAGTGGCTTCCTTATCAGACTAAAGTATTTTTTCTATTAAGGTGCTCTTCACTCCTAACACAGGGTCACCTGAGGTGAACAGCCTGGTGGTTGGAAGGTAAAGGACCATGTTTCCCTGGGTGAGTTCACTTGGGGCACCAGGTTTCCTTTGAATTACAGGGAAAACTGACCATAGGGCCAAAGCTCAAGGAGAATGAAAGGTACCCAACAGCAAAAATGGATGGCTAGGCAGCAGCTCATCTGTATTCCTCATTTTGGCAGATGCTACCAACTCACTCCTAGCAAGCCTGTGGTGGTGGCAGGCTTCTTTCCCAGAGCACCATTAATACTTTTGTCACAAAGGCCATTACACATTGCAATCTTTAACAGCTTATGAGGTAAACTATATTATTTTCTGTCAGGTGATATGAATATGAGAGAAGATCCCAAAATAGCAATATTTTAGACCCTTCCTCTTCCTAATCCTTAATATTGGGTCTTAAGTTTGTGCCAAGTTGGATTTTAGATTCACCACAAGTGTAGCCTGGGGAAGAGCAACACTGAAGTTGAGTCCCAAGGAAAGCAGTCTCAGAGCTTCAGGACCTGGTCTTAGTCCCGTCCTAAGAGGGCCTCCCCTATATACCAGAGGAGCTAAGGATGGTCCCCAATGAGGGCCCTTACCTTTTTGGTAAGTGAATCATCTGAGTCTGATGGCATCCGAGTGGAAACATGGAAAATCACTTCCACAGTAGAGGTAGCATAATAAGGGGCTGTCTGACCAGTGCTGCCATTGCGCTGAAGGCCACCCATGAACCCACAGTGGGTGGAGAGATCCACCTAATAAATATCACATAGAAAGAAAAGACTGAGGGTCAAAATTGAGTTGTGAATGTGAATTTAAAAAAAAATGATTTTCACTTCATATCTTTTTGAATACAAACTTACAATATAAAACAAAATTAGCCAATGCTAAAATATTAAAGAAACAAAGAACATTAAAATTAAAATTGCTCCATATTCCTACTATCTAAAGAAAACTACTATCAAAGTTCTGGTATATATTTCTCTAACTTTCTGGTACCTATTTTTGGTATATATTTCTCTAAATTTTTCCATATAGGCATACAAATATACACAGGAGTCCCCACTTACCTTTGGGAGCTATGTCCCAAGACCCCCAGTGGATACCTAAAAGTACAAACAGTACCAAACCCTACAATACACTAGTATTTTCCCCTATATACCTTTGATAAAGTTTCATTTGTAAATTAGGCACAGTAGAGATTAACAATAACTAATAAACCAGAATAACCATAGCAACATATTATAACTAAAGGTATGTGATTTTGGTGTCTCTTTCTCTTTTTCAAAATATCTTATTACACCTTCACCTTTTCACTTAAAGAAGCATTTTATGGCTTCTCTCTGGGATATCAGAATGCCAGCACCAAGAACCTTGCACTCTGGGGCCAATACATATACACACAAACACACACAGTTTCTCCACTGATGGATTTGTGGGTCTTTTTGTTTTTTCAAACCAGACGGAACACTCAAAGGAGTGTTTTTCTAAGATGTTGTATCAAGGGGTACAGATATTACACAATTTAGTAGCTATCACTAAACTGTTTCTCCAAAGGGTTATCACAATTTATACCATTGCCAAAAGTTTATGAGTCATAATTCATTTTAAGTTATGGTGTGAATGCTCACTTTGTACCTAAATCTAATTTTTTAATTTGTTGGGGGAAGAGGAAACCTCTGGGGGAAAGATATGGTTTTTTTAGCTAGGAGGTATAGTCTTGTGTGTGGTTTTACAACACACCATCTTTTATCTTGTCCCATTTTTCTTTCAACACACAGCCGTTTCCCCTGTGTGGTGGGCTCCCGGAACTCAGGGTCACCAATGATTCTTTCTTTATCATTCTTCTTTATCATTCTTTCAGTATTTTTTCTAAACACACACACAAGAAAGAAATAGAGAAGTCTCTTCTGTGCCAAATAACAATCTACATACATTCTGGATTAATGTTTTGTTTTCTTAGTTGAGAATGTATGATTTAAAAACTATATTAATTAAACAACAAATATATTCTATGACAAATAAGAAGTAACCTTATCAGCAAGAACAACAAAGATTTATTGGAAGTGCAATAGCTCTTAGACTAAAACCTACTTGGCTCTTCAGAAAGCGTATGATCCTAACCTTGGTGTGCTCTTGCCCTGACCCTAGTTCTATAGGAGTCCCCTTGCTAACACTGAACTCTCAGAGATAAGCTGTGCTTATGTACCCAGAGTTTCTACTTACCACAGATAACTAGGAAACCAAAACAAAAGGAAGAAAATTATTTTAGATATTTTGATTTCCATTTTATCAACCTTGAACTCTTCATATTCTGGGGAAATATTTTCCTTTAGACTTATGTTTCTAGGGGAGAGAGGTGTGTGTGTGTGTGTGTGTGTGTGTGTGTGAGAGAGAGAGAGAGAGAGAGAGCGAGAGAAAGAGAGAGAGAATATATTTTTTAGCTGGCTGCTGTAGTGCATGCCTGTAATCCCTGATGCAGGAGGATCACAAGTTTGAGAAAAGCAGCAGCAACTTAGTGAAGCTCTAAGCAACTTAGCGAGACTCTGTTTCAAAATTAAAAAATTAAAAAGGCCTGGGGATATAGCTCACTGGTAAATAAAGCATCCCTGCATTCAATCCCCAGTGGCGCCCACCCCCCAATTTTTTAAGAAGAAAAATAAAAAAAAACCTACAAAATTTTCAGTTATCAATCATCCTGGGGAACTATGTTAGGGAAAAAAGTTGATGGGTAAGCCACCATAGCTATTATATTTTATTTTCATTTCAACTTTTGACTTCATCCAACTCTTCCTTCATCTTTTTATTTGCCAAGTTATTGATTTGTTCTCTAAAAGCTCCATTTCATGGCCCAAACCATTGTTTCCTTGCCCATATTTGTTTTTTCTTACTATAAACCACCTATGACTCGGTGAGTCCCTCTGACTATTCTGTTTTGATACAAAGCAAATGAAAAAATACAAAGTGGAAAGTTAAGGGGAAACAAAAGTTCATGTATAAAGTACTAAAAGTTCACGTATACAGCAACTAATAGAAGATGTCAAATTCAATGTTCTCTAGTTCCTGAACTAGAGAACACTTTTTATTCAAATAGAGGTACTGAAGCCAGATTTAAAGTTAGGTAGTCAGTATAGTTAGGCTATATTTGACTATAAAAACACATGCAAAACCATATGTAATTAATATCTAGCTTATATACATTCGTAAATATAGTCAATAAATACCTATTGAATGAAAGTAATTACCTCCCATCCAAGACCAGCCACAAAATCTTCATATGCTTGGCTTCCTCTTTCATTGGAGAGGATTGAACACTTGTCTTCTTGACCTTCGGCAATGTAAAACACTGCAATTTTGTGTGTCTCACGGCTGTTAAATTTTTAAATTAAAAGGAGTTAGACTTCTCATGTATAAAGTTTTATTTTGTTGCCCAAATCAGCATAACTCCCATTATTGAGCTCACATCTATTGAGAACTTCCTGATCTCATTTACTCTTTGCAACTGGGGATACTCTTTCCAAAAAGGGCTGGGGATATAGCTCATTGGTAAATAAAGCATCCATTTTATCTACCTTGAACTCTTCATATTCTGGAAAAATATTTTCCTTTAGACTTATGTTTCCAGGGGAGGGGTGTGTGTGTGTGTGTGTGTGTGTGAATGTGTGAGAGAGAGAGTATTATCATGTCACCTGCCTTGCAGAAGTGGTTGGAAGGAGACAAAGGAATTTAAATAAAAAGCATGAAGGGCAATGGGACTAGGAACTAGATCAAGGCAGTCTCGTTCCTAGACTATACACTCAGACATTAAATATACTGAACCACAGCATGTTAGAGCATACCATTTGGTAAATTCTTTTCATTTTTGTTAAATAATATCATCTTTTAAAGCATTTCAAATAGATATCAATTATGAGTAGATATATGTGCATACCCCAGCATACCCACAGGTAGTCACTTTCTACACCTTGAGTCACTTTCTACACTTGGTAGGTCCTTGATTATATAAGATATGCCAAGATATGACTTTAGGAGAAAGAGAAACTTCTTCCAAGCAGCACATACTTAGGTATTTTCTTTGTGAAAGAATGTACCACCCCTGTCTGCTGAATTCTGAGGGTATCTGGTAAGGGGAAGAGCTGTCCAAGGAAACCTTTTTTGGTCACATAAATCCTTTATCATTTTGCTCCATGATAGATTTTGGAAAGTTTACTGTTAAAGCAAGTGAATATGATATGCATTTTGAAGAAACAATCCCTGCTTTTTCATCTTTTGTACGTGTAGCCTAGGATTTGAACATAGTTGGAGCTCAGCTAAATCTCTGCTAAACTGACCAGATAAATGATGGTATATTTGAATGTCTTAATAACCACTTTCTATGAATACTGTGGAATAAAGTGCCAGAATAAGTAGACCACTGTCAAGGAATCTGGTGATAAAGAGGAGATGGAAACACTTTTTATTCAAATAGAGGTATTGAAGCCAGATTTAAAGTTAGGTAGTCAGTGTAGTTAGGTAAATCGGGTCTTATATCGAGTGAAATCTAAAATGGAGGCCATGAGAATGAATTCCCGGAAAAGTTGAGCAACTCTTGAAATGTTAATGAAGTCCAGGAAACAGCCCCCAACAGATTTGAAGATAGCCCATCCCAAAGAAATGTTAATGAACAGCCCCAGCAGATTTGAAGATAGCCCATCCCAAAGAAATGTTAATGAGCAGCAAACTTGAAGATGCTGCCTCAGGAGTCCTTCCTGCCCAGATTACTTCTTTGGCCCACCTGTGTCCCACCCCTTGGGCCTTCCCACCTACATTCCATCACCAAAACTATAAAAAGGGGAAACAACCGCACTTCCAGGATTCCATCTTTTGGGTCCCCTTCTTCCACCTGGAAAGTCTTTTCTGCTGTCCTTTAATAAACTTCTATTTTCCACTCTAAACTTGCCTCAGCGTGCTTCTCTGGTGTTATACTTCAACATTGGGGAAGCAAGGACTCTTGTCACTGGTCAACAGCGGTAACAGTACCATCCGTGACTTTTACTATAGTTTCTTTTCTGTTTTTTTAGTATTAGAATACCACTTCCAGAGCAGTTCTACCCTTCTCCTCACTTTTGCTAATAGTCTGAAAAATCTCATAAGAAAAAATATCAAGTGCCTAAACAATACAGAAATGTTTCTATTGTCTAATTGTTTAATATCTCAAAAATCTAATCTGATTAAACATTCATATTGCTAGAATTATGCTCCATTTTTAAATAAATTTTCTAATATTTCCTTCTGTATGGGTTATTTTTCCACTTCATAAGCATGAGTAATGAAGCTCAACTGAAAAGCTATATAAATAATTAGAGAAGGAAAGTTTTTTCTTTCTAGTCATTTAGATAACTATTCATTTTGCCCCATAGTTTTCATGTAATAAACATTTAGAGGAAAAATTAGAAAAACTAGAAAAGAAGGAAAAAAGACTTATAATTTGAACATATAAGCAAAGAATATAGCTATTACCATTTTAGAATGCATTTCTGCACAAAAATATAAAATGTGAGAAACTACTACATTCTGTCTTGTAACTAATTTTTACACTTAAAATATTTATGGACACTTCGGGACTGGGGTTGTAGCTCAGTGGTAGCTCACTTGCCTTGTATGCCTGAGGCACCGGGTTCAGAATTGAGTACCACATTAAAATAAATAAAGATATTGTATCCATTTACAACTAAAAAAAATTTTTAAAAATACTTATGGACACTTAAAAAATTGTGGTAAGAGATATATAACAAAATTTACTGTTTTAGTTATTTGTAAGTGTGCCAATTTTAGATCATAGGATTCTACAATAAAGTTATTCATGACTATACAACATTGTATTATATTAATAAACCATAACACAAATCCTCATTTAGGGTATTTATATTTTTTTATTTAATATTTTTGTAGTTGTCAATGAATCTTTTTTTTTTAACTTATTTATATGTGGTGCTGAGAATTGAGCCCAGTCCCTCACATGTGCAAGGCAAGCGCTCTGCCACTGAGCTGCAGTCCCAGCCCCTAGGGTATTTATATTTTAAAAGATATTTCTGCATTATCTTTAATATGTTTTTGAAATTAATCTTTAATCTTGATGACAGTTTCACAAGATTTTTGTTGTCCTTAAAATAAATTCATAGAAATAGAATTTCTTGGGGCCTATCCATTGTTAAAGCTTTTGATACATGCTGTCCTGCTGCTACCAGGAAAGCAAGAAATTGCATGAGCATGCCTGGTGGGGTGTGACTTATGATGGAAACAGGTAGCTACAAGAAGGGAGGATTTTTATGTTGAAGAGGCTCCCAAACAGGAAGCCTGTCCTCATGGAGTAAGGAGCCCCTGAAATTGCCATACTATTTGTTGCCCTGAGTGACAGGGAACACCAATAAAAAGCACCTAGAATATTACTGGCTTATCTCAGATGGCAATGATAATAGATATCCTAACCTTTGACCTAAAGGACTGTCTCAACTAAAGGATAAAAAAATACAGTTACTCAATTTCTTTCTATAGCTCTCTCTATATATATTTAAAAGTCTTTGACATTTAGTTTCTCCCTGTTCTATAGACGCTACATACATAAAACAGCCTCAGGTTTATCTGAAATGTTTCTGCTTATTCTCCTTAAAGTCCAGGCTTTTTCCATTATAGCGGCTCCTGGGTCCTTGAGTCCTAATTAACTCAATGGTAGAGCACAGAGAACTAAGCTGGGATGACGGTCTGACTGATGTGGGTGTGAGGAAAGGTGACCTTTAGTTGTAAACATTCATCAAATTTCACATCCTCCAAAATGTTAGCACCGCAGAGAGCCTGCTAGGATGCAGACACTGTGTCTGGCCTTATTAGAGCCAGGCTTTTGAAATGGTAATTACAACATCAACAGCACTTCATATCCATAAGCTGCACAACCAATGCATGAAGGAACAGGTAATTCAGGAACACACAAACATAAAATCAACAATTTCCCCTTCCTCATTAGAATGCATTTTTCTTTCTTATTAGGAAGAGACCAGAATAGCTATTTCCTTGTGCTGTCACGTTAAACAGCCAAACAAAGAAAAACATGATTTTAACATCCACGTCACCAGATGGTGGCAAGAAGACATTCGTACTTAAAAAGAAGGCGCACTGTGATTTGTATGTATGTTCATCATACTATTAGATGTAACTATCTTTATTGTTAACTTCATAGTATTATAGACCACAGTAGCATGACAGATTCTCCCTTTCCTAAAAACATGTTAAGAAGAATCTAAGCCTTGAAAATAGAAATCATTAATATCAGAAATAGAAATTTCCTGAAAGTTGAGGGACAGAGTATGTTCTTGCCTACAATCTGACCAACCTACAGGACAGTCTAGATTTCTTATAGCTACAGAATCTCAGAATTAGTTCCAGTTTTTTAAAAAAGAACTTTGAAAATACACTTTACCTTAAAATAAGTTGATACACATTTAGATGTCAAGAAGACACTAAATCCAGGAGTTGGGGTTTTAAGTGAAGGTTAATCAAGGGGCAGAGAATTGCCAATCAGCTATCCAAAGCCATATTTTACTGCAACAGCACCCCAGGGAGCTAATTCAATTGTACCTCATGCAACTAAAGTGCATTAACACTCCACAAATTGGCCACAATTACAAGATACCAATGTATTCACTTAATACTAAGGAGCAGGGAGTAATTCAGCATATACTTAAAAAGCTGAGATTGGGATACTTCAGTATTTAATATTTAAGTATTTAATACTGAAGCACAAGAGGAAGAAGGAAGTAAATCCCTGAGTCCTTCAGAAGAAACCCCTCAAGGAAAATTTCCAGAGAACTTGATCTGTATTCCTCTAGAGAGAAAATAACAACAAGAAGCAGGAAAATGAATCCAATAAAGAGCTATCTGAAGAATAACACTTCATTTCAGCATCTAGAAGTTTTACTTTTATAAAGATGGTGTCTGGAAGATGTTGCAAATGTATTTTCCTTCAACATGGGGAACAAACTTTTTAAGTATATTAAATATTCCTGTATGGTTAGTTTTTAACAATTTTTTAAAATAAACTTTATGGATATGACAAAAAAAAAAGAATAACACTTCAGATTCTTCATCTCTAATGAGTTTTAAAAAATTCTTTAAGCTCAAATTTTTCACTATAGATTTCACTTAATAAATCAGGAAATAAAGACATTTACAATGACAATGAGCTAATGCCTTCAGGCCCGAGTAAGGTTCCTTTCCCCAGGTACAACTATAAATAAATCATTTAATCCTATATATTTCTTTTCTTTTTAATTCTGTCTATTCCATAATACTAAAATATTTATCACTCTCCAGAGAGTGGTAAAGCCACCTAGAAGAAAAGGCTCTCATATTGCCTCAGATCAGCTATCCTGGCATGTCCGAGACTCAGAAAACATACATGAAATAGTTCATTCCTCAATGTGTAGGTTATAAGAAGTCCTGAGTAATGAAGGCAATGTGGGAAGGTAGAATAATGGAGAAAAGAAAAAGAAAACTAATACCCTCTAATTCCCATACAGACTCGAATCTTAATTCTAGATGTTTCTGAAGGAGAGAAAGGACACATAGCTATAAGTAAGCTTAATATGATTTGATCTTCTTGATCCTCAGTGACATAAAAATGGGCCTTTTAAAATTAATTCAATTAAAATACTTTAATTCAAGTATTTAAGAGAAAATTAAAACTGGAATTCACTACTTCTTACATTTATACCTAGTTTAAGAATTCAAGCAGGGCACAGTGGTGCATGCCTGTAATTCCAGCAGCTCAAGATGCTGAGGCAGGAGGATCACCAGCTTCAGCAAAAGCGAATGCTAAATAACTTAGTTAGACCCTGTCTCTAAATAAAATACAAAACAGGTCTGGGGATATGGCTTAGTGGTCAAGTGCCCCTGAATTTAATCCCTGATACCAGAAAGAAAAAAGAAATTCAAACCACAAGAATCACAATTGTGAACCTAACAGGCCAATCATAGTGACATGAACCAAGAAGTTGTATGAAAATAAAATTTAATTATGTGTCACTTTGAGTTCGAACAGAACTCTAAAATAAACTATAAAAATCATAAGAATGCCATCTAAACACAGGGTGGTGAAAATATTTGTTTAGCAGGTCATAATTCCTCCCTGTAAGTACCAGGCAAGAGAATCAAGTGCCTGAAAGTGGAAGCACCATAGAGAGTGAATGAATGATTAAGTGAATAAAATAAAAGCTTTGCTTATTTTTCCAAATGCCAGGATAGAACCCATAAAGATAAAGCCGGCCTTTGTCATTTATTTTCCTTCTTGCTTCTTAAGCATCCTTTGAAAACATTAAGCTCAAATATATTTACAAATCTGTGAGTTAAGAAGGAGTAAGAAAAATGTAGGAAAATAAAATATAGTGGGAAGAGTTGAAAAACAAGCCTGGGGAAAACAACCTAAATTTGAGTGCCAATGAAACATTAAGATATTTCTAAAGGGGAATAAGCAAAGGGTTTTGTTGTTGTTGTTGTTATTTTTGAAGAGCTTTTTTTTTTTTTTTTAACTAAACATTAAGGAATCCGTTTATTCAAGACTTAACAAGTATCTGTCAAATGCTGAGGATTATATTCTTAACTTAGGTGGTTTTGGAAGCACATATTTCCCCAAATCAAAAACTGTTCATGATTGTGAACTCCTTTCTAGAAATGATTCTGATATTGTACAGAAAAAAGGGTAGATCTGAGAATGTAACCAGCTTTGAAAATGAGACATTAATAGAGAGTTATTAATTTCAACATGCTTGTTCTAACCTTTCCAACGTTTTAAAGCCAAGACTACAGAATGCCAGTGCAGGTTGCACAGCAAGGACTATGAAGTCACTCTCATATGGTTTCAAATAATATGGTATAGGTGATTATGACTTGTTTAATCTAGGTAAATATCTACTTCCTTATCAGAAAAAGAGACAGTTGCAGAGAATAAATGAGAATGGATGTCCACTGACTGCGACATAGAAAGGTATTCAATCAAAAGCAAAGATTAAGTGGGAGCCCCGACCTCTTCTTAGAGTAACAAATGTGAGTTATTCCTAAAGGGTATAAATATCAAAGGTTTGACGGGGCAAATGTCAGCAGATTCCAGGTTACAGAACTACCCATGGGTTCTAAGCACACATACACAGGTGAACTGGAAAAGGTGGTCTGATATACTTTCACATACCACTGGCGAGAGTCCAGGTTTTTCAATTCTCTCAATAATTTTGAATTTTTCTTCAAAAGATGAAAATTCTTCCTATAAAGAAAAAAACGATGGAAGAAAAAAATCATGTGATCAATGGTCAATTTTGCTGCATTTGAGTTAGTTAACAAACCTATCTATCATCCATCCATCTGCTACCTCATTTCACTAAATATCTGTGATAGAATCAAGTCCATTCGCCTTCATATGTCAAGGCATAAAAATCCCACTGCATCCCATTACTGTCCAGTGACACTGGATGACTCTGATAAATTGAGTGTGGCCTTGTTCTGTATTTTCAGTCAGCTCTGCTACAAATTTCTGCATAACACTTATTTCTTTAAAAACTGTACTCCACTATCGGGATCCAGTCAAATCTATCCTCTTCCCTGAGGTCTTCTCCACTGTCCCATACTTCCCACTGGACTAAATCATTCCTCTTGAACTCCTGGGCCACTCTATGCTTCATCAAAGTTTCATTACACCCACCTGCCTCATCAGATCTAAGGCGTATCTGCCATTTACATCTTCATTAAAGTAGAAATGATAATGGCCAGAGAAGTAAGTAAATAAAACATATACACAAAGGAAATACTTCAAACTCTAAAACATTCAATAGGTATTTAGAATTCAATGTGTGCATTAGTACAGCATAATTAGTTCCATTTCTGGCTTTAATTTAGCAGCCAAAATAAATTTTAATTATTATCATTATCAAAATAATGTTGAAATAGTGAAAAAAAATCTCCATTTTTATTTTCTTCTTCCCTGACCCTAAGTTGATAAAAAAAAGAAAAATTATTTGAAAAAGATAATTTAACGACTAGCATGTATTGTTACCTTCTATCCCAAGAATTCATTCCCAAATCATCGAGTAACAACCTGCAGAAATAAAAAGGCCCTCGGGGCTCCACTGGCGAGGGTTGCCCTTGGCTGGTAACTTTCATTGAAGAATCAGAGTTACATCTCTGAACATATTCGTCTTCCTGTGCACTCTGGCGCAAAATGACCTCAATGATTTCCTTTTCTTGCTCACGGTTCATGCCATATGGGGGTGGGGAGGGCTCATTTAGATTTAGCTGTGATGGTAAAAGGCATTCGGGACTAGTGTGGCCAATGTTTTCAAGTAGTTTGTCAAGGACATCATCTCCTTCTTCGATTTGGGAATGATCTTTCTGAGGTCCAAATGTGTGATGATGGTGGCCCGAAATTAGAAATAAGGGATTTCTTCCATTGGGTGCTAAGCGTCCCTCCAGAGGCCCATATAAAACTTTTCCATCCCAAGAGTACTTCCCTGATATATCCCTCACAATAACTCTCACATCTGAGAGGGCACCCCCAGGTCCTTCTGCAGGTGTCTGAAGGTAGGAAATGAGGGTACTGTCATTAAATACAAACAGCTGCAGGTTGGGGCTCCTGAACACCTCAGAAGACAGCTCAGTGCCTTCCACGTGGGCATTGTCGTGGTTCTCACTGACAAGGCTATGCAGCACAGCTGGGCCTCCGCTCAGAGGGTAGTGACCCAGGTGGTTCACCAGGTGGGCCATCACCATTCGGGCAGTCAGAGGGATCAGTTCCACACTTCTTCGCCTTTTCTCTGTGAACAGCCAAGAATGAACAGACAGTGAAGATTAAAACTGAATGCCACCAGGTTTCGGTGTTTGTTGGTTTAGTCTAGGACTTTGCTTCAACTTTTTAATTTTATTTTATTATTTTTTGGTATGGGCATTGAACCCAGAGTCTTGGGCATACCAGGCACTGATATGATACTGAGTCACATCCCCAGCCCTCAACTATTTATTTTAAACAATTCTATTTTAATTTAAAAGCATAACTCAAATGGACTACTAAAAAACCAATTTACAGGAGGAACTCATTCTGAAAGGGATGTTAAAAATTCTGTAGACATAGGACTAGAAAAAGCAAAATGTCCTTTTCCTTAAAGAGTTGTCAGTTTTGGGGGTATAGTTCAGTAGTTGAACACTTGCCTAGCATACCTGAGGCCCATGGTTTGATTCTCAACACCACAATAACAAAACAAAACCCAAGGAGCTCATAGTTCAAAGAGCTCTGGTAAGGACAAAATTCAGAGTCAGGGGCAGCTAGGGGCTGGAGAGTAGCTTAGGGAGGTACCTTGCTTCCCTTGATGGGGTGGATGTAGACCTGGAAAGGAAATTAATCAAATTTGTGACTGCTTAAATATATTCAAAGCAATTGGCTTAATAATTATTGTGACAATTTATGTTTAGTTGTTAGAGCATTTTAAATATTTAAGAGAATCTGACATACTAATGAATCATGGAGAAACTTAGAAGACTTTAACTAAATTTTTAGTTGAAGATTAAATGCTCAAAAGCAACTGATTTGTAAATTTTTTAATACTTACAAAGTATACAAAGACTTTGACAACAATAGTGTAAGGGGGTCTTGTAAAATAAAGCATAAGGAGGAAGAAGCAGATAAACTAAATCTACATGAATTGAAATGATTTAAACTTAAAAGTAATTATGGAAATTTCAATCTGTCAAATTTATGAAAGCAATATGCTTTAATCTAAGAACAAGTGAAAATGAAACCGCTAATTTTAACCGAAAAAAAAATCTAGATATTTAAATAAACTAAGGTTTATAACTTGAGCTTGAAGTTTTAGGAAATATGAAAAAAACAAATATTAATCAAACCTAAGTAAATGTAAATATTTTAATGCTGCATACCCTCCCCCTTAGAAATTAAAATCTAATTGACTTATTTATGATACATCAGTTTTATGATGTATGAAACGTAAGGGAGGTAAAAAAATCAAATCCCCCAATCTAAGAAATTCTGGGTAATGACTGAGGAGAGTAAGATCATCTTGAGTTTTCTTGGATTTCTTGTTTTTTTTTTTTAATAATGAATAAGAAATATGTATTCAATAATGGAAAATAAATTTTCATATCAAAACACTCATTTTTTTTTTTTTAGAAGCAAAGGAAGTCATCTACATTTCTCTCTGAAACTAAACTTTCTCTCCCAAACCCTGGGAGAAGTGAATATGATTTCCACACAACTAAGAAATTTAAGGCCCAGATTTAACACTCAAGCTAAGAAATGTTAATGCCCCAAAGAGCAAACATGAAGCTAGCCAAGAGTTGGTGAGTTCATAATGCAAATTACTTCATACATATTTGCATGGCAGAACGGGCATAAAACTCTCACCAATAAAGGTCTAATTTGATAAAGGCCCAAGGTAGAAAATAACAATTAGAAAGTCACCTTTCTTCTACCTTTACTTACATAGGTTATGCTTTCAATTTAAGGTAAATATAAATGTGTATTCTATGAATGTATTTGAATTCTGTAATGGGAAATTAACCTGGAGTCACACTGATCAGGTTATAAACCATGACACAATGACACATCCAATAAAAATCTAAAATAGCTCTGATACTGAAAACTGAAGAAAGGGAATATTTTATGAAATAACAATGACTTACTGCACTGCCTATGGGTTCTTTGAAAAACAAAGAAAAAAGTTGGACGGTTAATGAAAAAACAAGTTCATGACTTCCACAAATTATTAAAAAATAGAGTTCAAATATCTTTATTTTATTTTCCTAAACTTATGGATGAAATATAAGAGTAGTATTTTAGGTTATCCTTTAAATTTCATTTTTTGAAACCCCTCCAATCCCTTCTCTTTTAAGTAATTAGGTATAAGTGATGAGCAATCTGAGCAAACAAGTCTACTATTGATAGCTTTACCATGTCTCCTTGTATCTTTCTTTTAAAGTAGTAAATATACCTAGTATTAGATAATAGTCTAAGAAAGAATCATAAAAAATAACAGATAAAAATATAATATTGCTTATCAGAGACATTATCTAATTCAAATAGTTTTGTAATGAATGACAAATTGTGACAATGAATGAAATAAATGAGCACATTTTATTTAACCTAAAATCTACTACCTTTATTTATCCTCTTCACTCTTAACAAGATGTACCCACTTAGCAAGAGTGCTTGTGCATGCCAATATTGTTTTTAAGCATCTTGTTTTTTACTTAAATTGCTAGTAAATTTTAAAAATTCTTTTGTCATAGAAGTTTGAGCAATTAGTTTTAGTACCATAGAACTATGTTGGGAACAGGTGCATAAGATCCTGAAGTCTTCTGGAGAATGAATATTCAAGTCAAGGAGTGTTGTGCATAGAAAGGAAAATGGTATCAAAATCAGAGTGCATTTTTAGGTTTTTCCTTTTTCACTAACCTATTAATCTTTTGCTATTTTCAAGAAACAAGTCATATTGAGTAGTGAACCTGTTTTAGAGACAGCCATGTGGGATAAATGTCAATAACTTTTAAGTTAATTTCTTGTAAGACATGGATTGCAAAAGAGGAAACAGCAAAAGAAATGGATCAAGAGTTATTCTGATTACTTAATATAAATATGGTTTGAATTTATAATTGTGGGGAAAATTTCAAGAAGATATTACAGTTAACAGACAGTGGAATTCCAGGAAAAGATAATTAAATGATTAAGAAAATGGAAGGTGAGTTGAGTACAGTGGCACACACCAGTAAATTCCAGCAGCTCAGGAGGATTTCAAGTTCAAAGCCAATCTCAGCAACTTAGTGAGGCCCTAAGCAACTTAGCAAGACCGTGTCTCTAAATAAAACATAAACAGGGCTCGGGATGTGACTTAGTGGTAAAAGGCCCTGGGTTCAATCCCTGGTACAGAAAAAAAAAAAAAAAAAAAAAAGATGGATAACAGAAGTTTACCACAACTAGAATAACTCAAAACAAGAGTCTTTAGCCTATGACAAAAATCTCAGTGAAAGATTTATTTCAGGAAAATGATCATTAAGTCTTAGACTCGAATCCCACCTCCATTATTTCTGACTTGTACAGTCTTGAGAAAATCCCTTAACTTTCATTTGCTTGTCTATCAAATGAAGTTAAAACTCAGAACTGTCAGATTTCAAGGCCCTACTCTTTTTCATCCTCATCTCACCTTTCCCTTCATCTTCACCTGACTCATACTTCAGACTCCATGGTCCTACAATCATATCCCTGTACCATGGGCCCTCAAGTATGGCCTACAGCACTCCATCTCTCACCAGCCCCACAAGAGGGATCTGTCTCAAGTCTCTGAGTGATCTATCTGGCTATACTAACCACTCTGCCCAAAGTGTTCTGGCAAAACCCATGGCCAAACACCACTGGGAAATAAATCAGCTCCTTTTTTTGCTCTCAGCTTCTCCAAGAGTTTCTGAGGCATCTGCACTGCTGACTTTCCTCAGTGCCACCTGCTTTCTTCCCATGACTTCCTAGACATGTTTCTTTCTTGGTCCTTCCCTGGATGGTCTAGCACTCCACACCCACATTTTTTAACTTTTAATTTTGTAACAACTAATGATCCATATGATTATAAGAAATAATACAGAGAGATCTCAAATAGTCTTCATCTCAGTGGTAACATCTTACATAATCACAGCATAATATCACAATCAGGAAACTGACACTGATATTAATCCACTCATATTATTCAATGTTTGCCAGTTTTACATACACCCATTTGTATGTTTGATTCTATGTAATTTGATCACTCATACAGATGCCACACTTACCTTCCAACTCAACAATCCAAATTCTAGAGCTGGGTGCTTATCATTTGGGACGGGGGATGGTTAAGGAGGAAAGTCCTGACAATCCTCATAGACTCTAAAATGGACTTTGCTACAAGCAGAGACATCCTCAAACAGGGGTAAGTAAATTCCCATCTCCTTCCATGAGGGTCTCCTACTCTGGAAGAGTCTATAAGCTCTTTTCGAAGCCTGCCCATCCTGCCAAGGTTAGCTTAGGTCCCTCTCAATGGGAAGCTCCCATGGTGCCACTAGTCCAAAATTGAAATGATTCTTTCTGGAGTTTTCTTGTCTCTCCAATCAGACGCAAAACTCTTTGAGGACACAAAATGAAACTTTTTTGAGAATTCCATGGGTCTGAGACATATGGATCTTTAATAACACAAAGCTGTTTGAATAACTAAGAAGGGGAAGGAGCAGAGAGAAAAAAACAAACAAGCAACAAACCCCCCCCCCAAACAGGAAAAAAAAACCCAGGGAAACAAAAAGGGAAAGCAGAATTTGCCATCCATAGAGGACTCTAAAAACTAGGATTTTAACTTCAACAACCAGGTTAAAAACAGTAATAATAACACAGCAAGCACTGGACAAAAGGCTTCAATCTTTCCTTCTCTTATTCACAAGATATATTTGGAACGATACTCACCCTCTTCAACAGTCAGTAGGTTCCCCAGTTCTGCTGATGAATGATACTGAACTGCCTCAGAGCTCTTCACGTTTGCCAGTGGCAGAAAGGGGTCATAATCCGTGGATGACAAGTCAGCCAGAGTCAGTGTATAGTGACTTTGTTGGGTGTATGTGCTTGAGCCACAAACACAGCAGTGCAGAACCTGTGGAAAACAGATGAAATGGCACCCTGGATGTCATCATCTCCTGTCCCCTGATACTCATGATGTCCAATCACCATGGCTCTTAAGAGCTAAGACTCCTATTTGGGAATACTTCAAAACATTGGGTCCTGCTGGGGTTGTGGCTCAGCGGTAGAGCGCTCACCTAGCATGTGCAAAGCCCTGGGTTCAATCCTCAGCATCACATAAAAATAAATGAAATAAAGGTATTGTGTCCAACTACAGCTAAAAAAAAAATATTTAAAAAAATTGGGTCTTTTTCATCCTTAAATATCTTTTTGCTGTTAGCAAGACACTGATGTGTTCTTTCACATCAATGACAATAAATATATTCTCAAAGCAAAAGAAAAGTTAAAAAGTGATTATTTCACCATTCTCAGTGATTGCACATACCTAAGGCCTCCTCCATCCACCAAAGGAGACACAGGTAGAAGAAAATGAATCAGGAGGTGAAGGGTGGCTGGGGGATAAGTTATTTGTGGTGGAGGGCAGAATGGGCTCAATGAGCAGAGCCTACTGGCCAATTCAAGACAGTTTTTAAGTTTAAATCAGCATGACTCATGATCCCATGAACAATTTTTAAAGTATAGTTTAGTAAAAGCAAATTTAACTAAGATTTTTGAAGTATTCTTATTTTTCACGAGATTAACTTCTTTAATTTATTTTTAATGTTTTTTAAAGCAACCAGATTACTGTAACTATTATACATTTTCCTACCTTGCATAAACAGATTTTTGGCAAGTGAACACTGTGATTATTCCTATAATATAAATAATTCTTTTCTAAATTAAGTACCCAGAGACCACATTCCATAAAAATTGGGGAATACTGATCAAAGAATAGCCTACTTAAAATTAAAGATAAGAGTCATAAAAATGCATGAATTTTTAACTTGGTAATCATTACTTCTCTAAAACTTTATCTTCCTCCTTTCAGATCTCAAGTTATTCTTTTTAAATATTTTAACTCGTCACGAGTCCTTTTTCAAAAGGGCATAGATAAATAAGTGCACAAAAGACATTTTGGTAGTTTTCTGACATGTAGGTCCATAGTCCATGCCTTGAGGCTCAAGTGAAGACTTACCCTATAGATATAATCCAGCAAGGGGGCCCGGGATGGGTGCTGCTCCTCCAGGACCACTGTGGACACAGGATGGAGAAGGGTATTCACTGGCAATGCCATGCACCAGTCCAAGAGGCAGAGGAGTAAGGATACAATAAACTGGAAGAAGAAATATTATGTTATGTTGCAGTCTTTTAAACATCACTATGTATAATAATATATAAGAAAATTATTTCTATATACAAATTATTGAATGGACACCCAAATTCTAGGTAGATAAGTAAATATAAGATAGCGTTTTCATAAAAATTAATGCATCTGTTAAAATCTGTTAATAATCTGTTAAAATCAATGTATGCAGATATTATAAAGGCTATCACTATTTATACTACATTTATAATTCTGTCTTACATTTAAAAACAAATTCTAGAGAAAAGTTAGCTAATGTGCCACCTACCTTCTTATCTGTTTCCACTGAAGAGTACTCAGCACTTGGTAATAGGAAAGCAATTGTAGCCACAAGGATCTGCATAAAAGATAAGTGCCAAAAAGACCAGCATAATAGTTTTAAAAGCCATATCTTAAAAGGTGACCTTGCAATGAAATCCAGCTTTGTGCTAACTCACTGGAGGAAGGTGATATAAAGCTGAGGGTCAGTTGTGTGGTATGATCTTGAAAATTATGGGAAGGCATGGGGGCATATCTGGTTTCCACATAATCTGTTGCTGGTGTAATTGGGGGCTCAAGGGAAAGGACTACCTCTCATTGCAGTCATATAACTTCTACCATCAGTTCTCTCACTTTTCATATTGAAATAAAAAAGGACTTAAGAGTAATTATGAAAATGTTCCTATTCAATTTCTTATAATTACCCCAGTCTGTACCTGCTGTCCTGCTGTCATAGCATCCCTTTAATTCACAAAAGTATTCCTGTTTAGGTGACAAACTATAGGGTTGCCCTAAAATCCAACTTTACATTTTACATCTTATATTACTATGTCCAAAGCTCTATTTCACTGTAGGTCACTTAAGATAAAAAAAAAAAAAAATTTGACTTCTGATGTGTTTCTGGGAGAACAAAGTAATCTTTCCAGTGAAATTTGTCTAGGGCTGAGAGAAAATAAATCAACATCACTTCTTCTCTCACCCTACAATCCCTTATGGGGACAAATCAAATTTCTTCAAACAGTTACCCCTGGATGTGTAAAGACAGAACATGTTTTAAAAGTGCAGCTATAAAAATTGGCAGGAATGGATGTGACTTGCCACCAGGTACCTATGAGTGAGGACACTTGCTCAGATATAAGCAAAGCATTCTTAGATGGAACTCACTTTAGGATGCTATGGTTGAAATTATTCTTCCTGATCCTTCTCCTCTCCAATCCCACCAACCAATGGAACAAGAGGGTATTACAGTGGTAATCTCATCACAGATGGGTAATCATGCTATGACAGAAAGCAGGGTCCAGGGCTTTGTCTTGGAGGAACTCCTGCTTTACACAACAGACACCTCCTCCGCCCTGCACAGAGGGCATCATAACCAGCTGCTTACTCCTTGTTGGCACCATCCAAATTACTTGAGATGAATGAAGACCCAATCCATAAAAGGTCTCTTTGTTGTGGATGTATCTGCCTTTCAAACTCCCCAAGTATCAGTGTCTGCCCTGGAACACTGCTGGCTTCTTTCTGTAGTGCCTAGAATCATAGCTGAGAAGAACAAGTCCAGCTTGCTCTTATGAGACCCACATCGCAATTTAATGGTTGGTTCTCTAGTAATTATTTGAGAGTCTCTAATTAATCAGATATCAAATATACTAAAAAGGAAATGTGTATGTTTTAGCATTCAAGGAAAAGGACTTACTTCTGCCATTTTCCGAGGCAGAGAGGTTTCAAACATCTGAAGTTTTTCCCAGTAGGAAACCAGCAACTGAAGAATATCACAGGCTACCTGAGCCACAATTTTGTTAGGAAACTATAAAAGGAAACAAAATTCCAAAATAAATACATGACAGGTGTATTATCCCTAAGGAAGAATAAAATTTCTTCTCAGATTACAGTATATTTGTTTTGCATAAAATTGATGAAAACTATGATTAATAGAGAAGTCATACATGATCACACCACCATTCTAAAACTGGCTCTTGTTTAGCTTAATTATGTCAATTTATACAATTTTTGTATAGAAATAAGTAGCTGCCATTTAATCACTTGACACTGAAAAACTTCAGCTCACATAAACCATTTTTTTTCCAACTACAGGAAATTACATAATAGAGTATGTTGCTGAATGTCCCTTATCCGCTGAATCTTTTTGTTTTCAGCATTTATTTTTTTATTGGTACATTTTAATTATACAGAACAGTTAGTTTCATTGCAGCATGATTGTACATACATAAAACATAATTTCATCAATTTCACTCCCCAATACTCCCATTACTCTGATTTTACAAAAAGTTTTTTTCACATCACTTTTTTTTCATCTTTTAAAAATTTATTCTAATTTGTTATATATGACAGTAGAATGCATTACAATTCATATTACACATATAGAGCTCAATTTTTCATATCTCTGGTTGTACACAAAGTACAAGTCACACCATTCATGTTTTCATGCATGTACTTAGGGAATCCACTGAACCTTTTACAAGAATTTTACTCATTCTCTTATTGATAAATCTTCATTGACAGCTCTGTAAAGTAGATGTTCTCTTCATTTTATACATAGAGACAAAGGGATTGATCAAATAAATTTCTGTATTTTGAAATGAAACTTGGCCTATATGTTTAACATACTATAGTCTGTAAAATTAGAGACTCTGAGAACGTAACTCTTGAGTTATGGCACACTCATTAACTTTGAATGCCACTCCTGAGTCTGGTGTGTGTCTCTACCACCACCATCTTCTAGATGCTTCCATTTCTTGTGAGATAGATGTCAAAGAGGCAGTATTTGAAAGACCTTACTTTACTATGCTAGGGGAACATGAAAGGGCACCCTGTCCTTTTCTCCCTAGCCAGAACCTGGGGTTACAATACTATCTGTTACTCATTAGCTAGAGCAGAAGAATTTGTCAGTGATCTGTCACTGGACTAGAAAAACTCACTCAAGTCACATGAAGTAGCCACCAACTGACATGTGCACAATACAAATAACACTGAAAGGTCAATGTTTAGTACCCCAGTGACAAGCACACAAGATGACAAAGAAGGTAAGGAAAATATGATTAATTTTAATTCTACAGAATAAACAGTTACTGATAGGCACTACCTGAGAGGTGTGAGGTAGACCCATAGCTCTTCATAACCTTCCACAGCCATCTAGACCCAGATGACCCGATCTCTACTAGCCTTCTTCCATTTCTCCAACACCCTGGCTTTTTTCTGCCCTTGCCTTTGTACCCACTCCTAGCTTTGCCTGAACACCCATACCCCAGTGGAGCTTGCACTGTTTCATCTTTCTGATTCTGGCAAAAAAAGTCATCTCCTGCAGGAGGCCACCACACTCATCCAAATGATTGGCAGCCTACCACTTCCAGCACTTCAGCTTCATCTCATCCTTGTTATATATCCTTCATGGCACTAGGGCTGTCAGGACCTATCTGACATGTTGATTATTTTCCTACATATTATGAGTCACTATTTTATACCTAATGCCTAGCATGGCTTCCTGAAGGATGTGCATGGTAAGCTTAAGGGAAGATAAAATGCTGAGGGACTGGGAAAAAGGGAGTGGATGCTGGCAAGTCTCTTAACTCGGGAAGCTAGAAATATACAAGAAGAAAATGGTGAGACCTGTAGCAGGCAAGACAAAAGGGCTTTGGGCAGAGGGAGGGGGAGACACGACAGGCAGAAAAAAAGACTACAGAGGGGGGAAAGAGCTGAGCTGTGCCTGGAAGAATGCAGATGGAGAGCCAGGGTTTCCTGTGTGGGGAGTATCAGGGCACAGGTACTAAGGTAGGAAAGGACCTCCGGAAGAGTAGAAGCTACCATAAGGGTGGCAGTACTGACATATAAGAACGAGGTGGGGAATGGTGGAGATGAAACAAGTCATTCATTCACTCATCCATCACAAAGCAAAGGAAAACTGACAATGTGCCAACATGAATTAAAAGCAGACAATTAAAGGAATAAGATGAAAAGGACAGGCAGATCCTACTTTAAAGAACTGACAGTGTCATGGGGCTGGCAGGGACCTGTCCTGGTTCTGTATGCCCTGCACAGTACCCTGTCCTAGTACCCTGGTCACACCATGTTGAAGGAGAAAGTCAATGATGCCTGGGAGAGCAGGTAGGGGAAAGAGCAGTAGGTGGGGCTGAGAGCAGGTTGCTCAGGGAGGAAGGGACGAGCTGTTTGCCTGAGCCTTAGCCTATGCCTCTCTATTTCTTTATTTTTATTTTTTGTAGCTGTAAATGGACAGAATGCCTTTATTTATTTTTATGTGGTGCTGAGGATTGAACCCAGTGCCTCACACATGCTAGGCAAGTGCTCTGCCTCTGAGCTACAGCCCCAACCCTGCCTCTCTATTTCTATAGTTCAGTCCTCCAAGGTGGAACATCCAGAGTTTCTGAGTGTGCTGGTAGCCTAGAACCACCACACACCAGACACTCATCTGCTGCCCCACCAAATGCAAACAAGTGGAGGAGTGAAATTCTTTGTACAGTAGCCCAACTGGGCTGATCCCACTCATTGTGGCTGCAGACATGTTTACATTAACACCCCTTGGGGAAAACCTCCCCAGTTCATGGCTGGTTGTGCCCCTCCCACATCTGTGAGCACACTTGGGTCACCTCTGTTGGCTGTTTCTGAAGGGCTCAGTTATAAGAAAGGCAATGCTGGAAACTATATGGAGTCCTAGGAGCTTGTATTCTCTGCAGTATAAACCATCTGGGAGCAGGAAACCAAAACCATTGCTACTGTCGCCTCTTCATTTTTCTCCCTCCTGGCAGTCTCAGAGACTCCCTCAAGTCCTTTGACTCAAAGTGGTTGCCAATTCCTTTGTTCTTTCTGGTAACTCTTTCCTTTGTAGTCCTCAGTTCTTCTTAGATTTATATACTATGTCCTTAAACAGGAATCAGATGGAAGTGTCCCCAGAGAACAGGACTTAAAGTCAATATGCTTAAGTCAATGGCTTAAATCAAGCTGGAACCAGTTCCTTTCTTCCTTGTGCTCCTTCTCTTTTATTCCTAAATAAAAGAGAGCATCTATCCAGAGTTGTGGAGGACTCAGTAGGACTGTGCTTAATGGTTGTCTGACAGAATAAGAACTCAGTACGTTTAATTGCATTTTTTAGGGTACCTTATGTTTTTCCTATTAATTACAGAAGAACTGTAGAAACTTTGAAAAGTCATAGAAATGCAAAGAAGAAGATCCATTTATCCCTTTACTCTGTTATCTATTTCTTTCCCTCTTCTATACTATAAACATATATACATACATATATTCATATATGTATTTATGAATGACATTATTGACTTCTAAACAGTTTTTCCAGGTAAGGGATAGGAATGGGGGAAACACTTTGCATTAAATATATATGTCTAAATTTAAGTAAAATTAAAATTTGAAAAATAAATCTTAGATTGAGATAAACATCTACCTTAAATAAGATATTTAAAAAATGAAATGGGACCTTTCTGTTACTAATCACATGTAAATATTTCTTTGTGGCTTAGGGAATCATAAGTGTTCTGCATTTGGTGTACAAAATCCTCACACATATGGCTAGAGTATCCTGGGTTTGACCTGGAAAGTTCCCCAGACTCCCAGTCAGTACATTTCTCCCATCTGTGAAGTACAGGTGGTTCACAGGATGGTTCTAAGGAATGAGTATGGTGACAAAGGCCAGTGGTCAGCATCCTGTCCAGAAAGAACACTCACAATATGGTATTGTGGTTAAATAGTTTTCCATTCTTCATCACAGGAATCACAGCAAGAATTTTTCTACCTCCTATGATGTAACTGGCATCACTCACCACAGCAATTGTGGAGGAGAGACAGGGGAGGATAAGGTGATGGGGCAGTGTCAAAGGTACACTTGGGGAACAAGAACCCCTGAGTTTGGTCAGCGGGGTCCAGATCATTGAGGGCCCAATGCCCAGACAAGGATGGGGAATACAATTAGATGATGAACTCAGGGGATATCACTGGTCTGATGATGACTGTTCCAGCATCAGCTATTGATTGCTGTTGCTATTATAGCTCCATGTGGCAAGCAGCAAAGAAGGGTGGGCAAGAAGGGCCTGGACATAGGTATCAGATGGATGGTTTATGACTTTAATTTTGACTCAGCTAGGGCGTCTCATACACTTAACTAAGTTCCTTAACTCTCTTGAACTTCAATTCTTCCAATGGTAAAATGGGGACATTCACCTTGCCACTGAGAACTACCACAAAGCTCTCAGCACAGTGTCTGGCAGGACAAGGTGCTCACTGGTTCTGAAAATATAATTATGGCAATGCTAACCTTACCAACATTTTGAAGTAAGAACCATGATAGCACAGGATTGAAGCTCTCATTTAGGAAGCAACCTACCAGCATAATTAAAAGTTCAGTTATGTCTTTAATATCACACAGATCTACTTTCAATGCTGATTCCATCACTTTTACCTGAATAACCTTAGACTTAAAACCTAATTTCTCTGGGTCTTGATGTTCTCTGGTGAGTATAACATCTACCTTAAAGAGCTATCATAAATACTCATAAAAGCATTTAGAAAGTTTATCATTATTCCTACCTTGTTTGAGGGCCCAATAAATGATAACTCTTCTCATTAACAAAGCAAAGAAAGATGTCCTATAAATACTGAAAGTTCAGCACAATGATGTATTAACACTCAGTGCTCTAAACTGGAAGCTGTGGGGGTCTTTCTCAGTCATGTTGAAGAGTGTGGGACATGAAATCTCACTTTCTTGTCACCCTCATCAACAGACAACAGCTGTCCTCCTTGTCCTAGGACCTGCCCAGCAGGAGATGAATCAGTGGACTGATGGTAGCTGCCAATGGGGTAAGCAGCCATTGGTGACCTCATAGCATACTGACAGGACTCTCAAAAAAGGGAATTCTGAATCACCTCTTTTTTTAACATAAGAGGCAACAAACAATTTCGATTTAAACTAAAATAAAAAATACTTAGGAGATAGTTTAATGTGAAATAAATACCAAGAATTGGTAATACCTTCAAAGTTACACCTATCACATTGATGGCTTCTTTCACCTGAGGATGGCTGGTACACTGTGCAAGCTCTTCACAGATCCAGACCCCAAGTGAGCAAATGGCGATGCATCTTTTTAAAAAAGAAGGAAAAGAAGAAAAATGCTTATGAAATTATATATTTCCTTAATATTTTCAAAAGAGAAATATTTTAAATCTGTTTATTCAAGGCAGCAAAAATCAAAAAATACATTAACAGAACGTCTTCTTGAGAGAGTAGATAGGGAACTTCAAACAGATCAATTTTCAGGAAAAATAGAAACATTGATAATGATTAGTATTTAAATATTTTATGAAGTGAGTGGCATGTTTTCTGTTAATTGTCGCAGCTCATGTATCACTTATTTTTATTAAAACTAATTTATTACATTTTATTATTTTGATAAAGTTTGGAGCAAAAGTAAAAAACACAAATCTTAGTAAATTATTGAAAACTGAGTTTACAATTGTCTTCCTTATAATAATATGTACAATGCCTACTGCTTACATAAGAAAAACCCTGTATTTTACTTTAAAGTATTTTAATGCAACTTTCAAAATTAATTTTACTTTTTTTTAAAACACTGTGCTAGAACAAGATATTCTGCCAGGAAAACAGGATCATACCATACACATTTTGATTCTATTTATTGGGGGGGGGTGTGTTTCTCAATTATTTATTTATTTATTTTATTTATATATGACAGAAGAATGCATTACAATTCTTATTACACATATAAAGCACAATTTTTATATCTCTGGTTGTATACAAAGTATATTTACACCAATTCATGTCTTCAAACATGTACTTTGGATAATAATGACCATAATATTCCACCATCATTTCTAACCTCATGCCAGGCCTTCCCTTCTCCTCCAACCCCTCTGCCCCATCTAGAGTTCGTCTATTCCTCCCATGCTCCCTCTCCCTCTCCCACTATGAATCAGCCTTCTTATATCACAGAAAAAATTCAAAATTTGTTTTTTTGTCTATTTTTTAACTCTACAGAAATTTGGCTTTCTATGCTAAAGAAAAAAGGGGAGAAAAAGGAATTGCCAAGACTTGTTGATGGTGTAAATATGGTAGGTGTGGGAAAAATGAGAAATTAAAGATTTCTTACAAATTTCTGGGTTTAAAACCTGGGTAGATGGTGGTGCCATTTATTGAAATGATATCTAAGGGGCAGTCAGGCTTGTAGGGGAGGCAGAGGTTTCGGAAGGCAGACTAAAGGATTCAGTTATGGTTGCATTAAGTTTGGATATGTTAAAACATTCAAATTGAGATGTCAAGTAAGCAGTTTAATATGTAAGTCTAAGTATATAAGGGGTTTACTAAAGATCCAGGTAAATAAATTAGGATCGTCAGCAAGTAGATGGCATTTGAAGGTTGGTTAGAATAGTATACAAAGACTCATTAGCACCCAGGAAGTCATGGAGAAAAAACAGGCCCAGTCCTAAACACTGATTCACTCTAATATTCAGAGATTAGGTAGAGAAGGAAAGGTCAACACAGGAGATAGGAAAGGAGCAGTGGCAATGAAGTAGGGGCTAAATCAGGAAATTAAGTTCTAAGGAGCAGGTATTGTACAGGAAGAGAGTAAAGAGAAACTAACTTCAGAACTGGTACGTATCCTTGAAACTTATATGATAATCTCTAAAATAACTAAAAAAAAGCGTTTATGGTTTCTTTAAGATAGAGATACTAAGTAGATGGTGAGAAAAAAATCAAGAAAAGAAAAAAAAAACAGGAGGCAGGAAATGACAGCAAGAAAGAGGAAATGAAAGAAATATTGAGAAAGCTCAACTAAAACAAAGTATTAAATAAGATGACAATACATCCAACAGATCAGTAATTATGAAGAATAGAAACAAACCACAGTTTCAGTTAAAAGATAAAGATCAGACAGGTAAATTTATAAGACCCAGATATATATAGTTTGAACAAAGGTATCTGAAAGAGAAAAATTCATACAGAAAAATTTAAAAGAACAGAAAGTATAAAATAGTTGTAAATATCAGATAAAGTAGTCTTTAATATAAAAAAAATCATCCTTAGAAATAAATAGGATTACTATATAAGTATGAGATTTGATTCACTATAGGAAAAGGGAAACTATAAACTTGTATGCAATTAATAACAAACTCAAAATATATAAAGCAAATGTGACAGAAATACAAGGAAAAACAAACAAATGTGATCATAATAGAAAAATTTAATGTATCTCTTTCAGTAAATGATCAAGTTGATGAAAAAACTTAGAAAGGATACAGAATATATGAAGCACTTGTTTTAAAATAATTAATATAATGGAAACACCTAGAACACTATGTTCAACAGAGAACAATGTATACATTCTTTTCAACAATATATAAAACATATGAAAAAACTGATTATATAGTGGGTCACAGAACAAGTTTCAGCAATTTTAAAGACAAAGAGATTTTTGATCCCAAATGCAAAAGACATCAGTAGTAAAAAGATAAACAGAAATAACTATATGCTTGGGAATTAAGAAAAATACATCTAAAAACTTATGAATCAATAAAGAAATTATAATGGAAAATAGAAAAAAAGTTCAAATAAAAAATATTACATATTAAAATGTATAGAATTTGGATATAGAAGCATCTAGATGGTCACAAACTGTTAGCAGCTTCAGATGCCTGGCAGAAGCAACCAAAATGTTTCCAGAACTGCCAAATGTCTTTTGGGGCACAAAATCAGCAGCAGTTGAAAATCACTACCCTATACATACATCATTTGAATAAACTGTTTATCCTTCCATTTTCCTTCTTATGGAAAACATATATATATTTGTAATCGTACTTTTTCTTAGACAAGAGAGTGTATATCTTACTATTTTCACTTAGTAATGACAACTTCTTAAATAATCAAGCAAAATTTTTCCTGACATGATTCTTACTGCACTTTAATGTGTGTAAAACAAATGTGAGAGAACGTGTTTTTTTAACCTTAACTGTTTACACATAAAAGTGTATCTTAAAATTCTAAAATAGTTTACCTCTTGTTCAACATTTACCTTGCACATTCATTTGGTTCTTCTGTGGCATTCTTCAGTAAAATATTTATGAGGTAATGCTAAAAACACAAAATTAAGTAAAATAAAAACTTTGTGTCATGGTTGGTTTCCCACATGTTCTGATCATGTTCCAGGCAACCAGGAGCTACTGAAGGACCAGGGAGCTGAGGAAACTTTTCCTTCAGGAGAGCCTGGGGAGGGAGGAACATTGGGCTTGTCTTTTCAGGGAGTGTTTCTAGATATCCAATGAAAGCCTCACAAAGCAATGAGACCTCCAGATAGGAAAATCTCCATTTTCTTTTACTTTAATTGGATTACACACTGTATATTGAATTATATATTGTAATTATGTATTATAGATTGATTGATTAATGCAGGGGATTTTTCTTTTTTCTTTTTTTTTTTTACTTTTTGCCTCAAAAGCTAGTTGAGGAGAGAACAAATGCTTACTTTTATTCTCTAAGAAATGATCTGAAATTTCAAATTATTAGTAGTATTTAATCAGGTCAACAATGGGATTGAGTATTTAGCTTATTTCAATTATTCTTTATAAATTCATTTGATATACTAATGCAGCATAACTAATCTAATAAAATTACTACAAAGGATGATTCATTACATAATTATGATCCCTAGGCACAATAAACAGATCTAATAAAAAAATACCCAAGGAATATAAACTATTAGGTCTAATGGCAATATGCTCTGAATGTGATACATTTATAGCTCCTAAAACAGACTTCTGAAAATAACTACTGAAGCATTTAAAAGATTCGACAAAATTTCAGGAAATAAGTAGATAGTATATAAGAACAGAAGATATAATCATATAGCTAAACTACAATATGCTAAACTTGAGGTTAAATCAAAGACTCTGCGTACCTTGACATCTTCAGTTCCTGTAATGACCTCATTCACTTCCGGCACTGACGGTAGTAAAGGGATCTCCTGGTAGGTATTTGGAAAGCACACCAGGGAACCCAGGATGGTGAGAGCTTCTGCACGAGGTGCCTGCACACAAGGAATGAAACACATATGTTTCTTTCTGAAAGTTAGAAATTCTGGAGAGGCAATAATATGTTTTACTTCTCCATAATTTTGTGAGGAAACCTTAATCTTAATAACTATTTTATCTTGACTACATAATATCATACTATGCCTGGTTATTTTCCTGGTGAATTTTTAAGCAAGAGAGATTTGCCTAAGTGCAAAAGCAAATTTCCAAGGAACAAAAAATATGACCATACTTGGATGTAAGTGTTGTGAAAACTGGTCTGTAGATTCATTCAGAATTAGGAAAACTAATCACTATTATTTTATACTATTTTAGAGTTAGTGTTCATAACAAAACAGAGTAAACAAAATCAACTTAATGTTATTTTTTTCTGTGAAGAACAATTAAGGAAAACTCTTAAGGAAGTTAGTTTGGAGGTAACTAAGAGAAGAAAGGAAGGATACTACCTACCAAAATTCTTATGGTTCTCCAGGAACTACTTTGTAAAATAATATAGTGAACTACTAAAACACTATATCTAGCAAGGCACTAGATACTTATTTGTCCACTATTGGAGGAACGTATATATTGAAGAAGGCATTTTACTAGATTTCAATTAAATCAACACTAACTAGCAGCTGTCATTAGCCAAGAATAAAGGGTTCCATTCACAGTGCCCCCTGCTTCAGAATATAAGCTTTTACTACAGCAAATGGAGAAAGGACAACCAGTTCTAATTCTGGCAGTGAGAGGAAGGGAAAACATGCTTCTGTTCCAGAAGCTCAGTGTGCTCAAGGATGTAAAGTAGGACTTTAGGAGTAAGAGTGGAACCTGAATTAGAGGTCTGAAACCAGTGCAATCAACCTGGTGAAAAAGGTCAGCAGTGAGGGAAGCAGCAGAGTGGGTGCAAAGAGAGGTGAAGACTGCTCCCTATGGCTTGAGACCTGATTTCATATGGAGCCTGAAGGAAGCACGTAAAGTCACTTCTGTGCTCAGGGTTAAAATGACAAGGTACTGTGGTGACACTTATAGGCAGCAGGTAGGAGAAAGAAGAGGTTCTAAAGTAAATTGGGCTGTGGTTGGGGGAATGAATTTGATGCATCCATGTAGCATCCAGAGGCAAGTGTACACGAGACAGATGGTGAAAGGGTCAGAGGCAGTGATCCTCAAAGTGTGCTCCAGCAGGGGCACATGAAATTTAAACAGGAAAAATCAAAGACTTCAAGGAAAAAGAACATGCAGAAATATTTGGCTACATACAGTTAAACAAGAGCCTTTAACATGTTAATGTACACTGATTTTCAAGTAAGGATGTATATTCCACAGAATTATCTGACCATAAACCTGTCCCTTTCTCCCCACTGCCCCCCAAGCATCTTGGGGTTTAGTGTTCTGAAGATATTCTGAAAGGCTTATTTTGAGTTTAGAAGAAAAGTTTGAAAGCCAATATGGGAACCTTTTCTGTTCAGAAGAACTAAATGAAAGCTAACTCTGAGAGTGTGTAAGGGGGCGGGAGAATGATGTCAGGAGTCACAGCCTTGGAAGTGGGGAGACAAAATAGAAAGAACATTATCAGTATCCCACAGAAGTCCTCTCTGTGCCCCACCTCCATTCTCTTTCCAAAGTAACTCCTATTCTCCATAACATCACAGATTAGTTTCGTCTACTTTTTGAACTTTTAATAATAAAATTAGATTATATATTCTTCTGTGTCTGACTTCTTTTCCCCAGTATTATGCTATGCAACTGACCCTTGTTGTGGCATTATTGTATATATAATATTCCATGTTACTCACACACTGTAATTTATTTGTTCTATTGTTGATGAACATTTGGATTGGCTTTAGGTTTTTGGCTGTTACAAACAATGTTGCTGTGCACAAACTTCTACACAGTTTTTGATGACCTGTGTGTGCATTTCTGTCTCTCTTTCTCTCTCTCCTACTGCCTCTGTTGGGCAGATCTCTACAGCAAAGGTATTTCACACTTATAATTAACTTGTGTAAACTGAAAATTTTCACTGAGAAGGTACACTCCATCCAAATACCTTTCACCAGATCACCTATAATATTAAACCTTGAGTTTAAATGACAAAGTAATTCAGAGTTGCTGTTCCTTTACATAAAACTACTCATTTGCATTCTCATTCTGTTTTTTAAAAACATTTTTGAAGGCTAGTTATTTATTCTTTGTTGATTCTTTTTCTCCAGCTTTGAAAGATAATAATTGTATATATTTAAGGTGTACAACATGTTTTGATACACATATACATTGTAAAACAATGACCATAATCAAGCTAATTAATATATTCACTACCTCATATAGCTGTAATTTTTTTGTGGTGGGAATATAAGATCAACTCTCTTGAAAAATTTAAAAGTTTACAATATAGTATCATTAACAATATATTGTTAACATTACAATATAGACACCATGCTGCCTATTAGGCCTCAAGAACTTATTCATTCTGCATAACTAAAACTTTATACCCTTTAACTATCAACACACCTCCTATGACATTCCTCAGGACCTGACAACCACAATTGTATCCTTTGCTCTGTGAATTTTACTTTTTTAGATTTCAAATGTAAGTTGAGATTATGCAGTATAATGTTTGTCTTTCTGTGACTAGCTTACTTAGCAGAGTGGCTTCCAAATTCCTCCATGTTGTTGAAAATGATAAGATTTCCTTCTTTTTAAATGCTGAATAGCATATATATATATATATATATATATATATATATATATAAATTCTGATTCAGACTGTGTAAATGTACTGAAATACACACACACACACACACACACACTTCACCCATTCATCCAATGATACACTTAAGTCGTTTCCATAATTTGGCCATTTGTGAATAATGCTGCAATGAACATGAGAATGCAGATATCCCTTTGAAATACTAGTTTCATTTCCTTTGGATATATGCTCAGAAGTAGAATTTCTAGATCATAGTTCTATATTTAAGTAGTTGAGAAACTTTACTACTATTTTCCATAACGGCTGTGGTCATTTATGTTCCCACTAACAGTGTACAAAAGTTCCCTTTCTTCCACATCCTCACCAACAGCTTGTTTGTCTTTTTGACAATAGCCATTCTACCAGTGTTTTTTTTTTAATATTTATTTTTTAGTTGTGGTCGGACACAATATCTTTATTTATTTTTATGTGGTGCTGAGAATCGAACTCAGGGCCTCGCACTTGCTAGGCGAGCGCTCTACCACTGAGCCACAACCCCAGTCCCCTAAAAGTGTTTTTTTTTTAAAAAAATTAATTTAATTTCATTTTTTTACATAAATGGAGTACAACTTTTCATTTCTCTGGTTGTACATGATGTAGAGTCACACCATTTGTGCCATTATACCCATACACAGGGGTAATAATGCCCATCTCATTTCTAACAGTGTTTTTAAATTGCATTTCCCTGAAAGTTAGTCATGCTAAATATTTCTTTCATATACCTGTTAGCCAAATGTTTGTCTGGAAGGCTATTTTAAAAAGCTCATCTGGCTAAAAGATACATTTTCACAGAGAACGACCCCATTGTGTGATACTATCTCTATGAAGGGTTCTAGCACTGTAGAACACTCTCCTATCAAATAATAAAAATTTCAACAAAGTAGGTCCTTTCGGTATAGTCCGAGAAGAGGAATAGCTGAGTCAAATGGTGGTTCCATTCCCAGTTTTCCAAGGAATCTCCATACTGCTTTCCAAATTGGCTGCACCAATTTGCAGTCCCACCAGCAATGTATGAGTGTGCCTTTTTTCCCACATCCTCGCCAGCACTTGTTGTTTGTCTTCATAATGGCTGCCACTCTTACTGGAGTGAGGTGGTATCTTAGAGTAGTTTTAATTTGTATTTCTCTGATTGCTAGAGATAATGAGCATTTTTTTGAATATTTGTTGATTGACTGTATATCCTCTTCTGAGAAGTGTCTGTTCAGGTCTTTGGTCCATTTATTTATTGGATTATTTGTTTTTTGGGTGCTTATCTCGTGAAACTCTTTACCCTAGAGATTAGAGCTCTATCTGATGTGTGAGGGGTAAAAATTTGTTCCCAGGATGTATGCTCCCTATTCACCTCACATATTATTTCTTTTGCTGAGAAAAAACTTTTTAGTTTGAATCCATTCCATTTGTTGATTCTTAGTTTTAATTCTTGTGCTACAGACATCTTATTAAGGAAGTTAGGGCCTAGACCCAAGTGATGGAAATTAGGGCCTACTTTTTCTTCTATTAGACGCAGAGTCTCTGGTTTAATCCCTAGATCCTTGATCCATTTTGAGTTAACTTTTGTGCATGGTGAGAGTTAGGGATTCAATTTCATTTTGTTGCATACGGATTTCCAGTTTTCCCAGCACCATTTGTTGAAGATGTTATTCTTTCTCCATTCACACTTTGGCACCTTTGTCTAATATAATGTAATTATAATTTTGTGGGTTAGTCTCTGTGTCCTCTATTCTGTACCATTGGTCTACTAGCCTGTTTTGGTGCCAGTACCATGCTGTTTTTGTTACTATTGCTCTGAAGTATAGTTTAAGGACAATTCACAATAGCTAAACTGTGGAGCCAACCTAGATGTCCTTCAGTGGATGAATGGATTAAAAAATGTGGCATTTATACACAATGGAATATTACTCAGCAATAAAAAATAATAAGATCATGGCATTTGCAGGGAAATGGATGGCATTAGAGAAGATTACGCTAAGTGAAGTTAGCCAATCCCCAAAAAACAAATGCCGAATGTCTTCTCTGATATAAGGAGGGTGACTCAAAATGGGATTGGGAGGGAGAGCAAGGGAGGAAGATTACCTCTAGATAGGGAATAGGGGTAGGAGGGCAAAGGAGGGAGAAGGGGAATAGCATGGATCATGAGACTCTCATCATTATACAAAATACATGTATGAAGATGTGAATTTGGTGTCAACAAACCTTATATATAATCAGAGACATGATAAATTATGGTATAATGGTATGTTAAGAATTGTAATGCAAAAATAAATAAATAAATGAATGAATTAAAAAAATTTCAACAAAGTAGTATGATTTTCCTCCTTGTATCCTATAAATTTTTTCAACATTGTTTCAAGTCATTAAAAATAGGCTTGAAAGTTCTTTGAGATTATCCTAAAATATTCTGGGATAATCTTTTGAAATAGGGAAGTATGACTCTGAATAGATAATAGTTGTACAGAGGACAAATGGGAAAGCCATATTATTCACAAAAACAACTTTGATTGAATAAATTGAACATTTTCTCTGGTTTCCCTTCCCTAATTCTTTTCTTTTGCTCTTGTCTCTTTTTGCTTTTCTTTGCTGTTTCACTTATCTTTATAAGAAAAAACCTACAAAAATACCAGCATGAACTATCAGCCATACAAAGTATTAAATAAAATTAATTTAAAACCTGGGGCTCAGAGTTTGAATTTACTCTGCACAGAAAAAAAAAGTAGAGTGAAAAGGTACCCACGTGTTAAACAAAATTTAGGGTGTTGGATACTCATACTAACTTCAATACAAATCCCTGGCAAATAGTAAAGTTTATTTTATTTACACCATTTGAAGGGGAAAATGACTCTGAACAGATAATAATTGCACACAATATAAATGGGAAAGGTCCTTTAAATTCAAATGTGTAAGAGTATTCTCCAAAGGAATTAAGATGCTGCCTACATAGTGGCAGTAAATGTAAAGACTGAAAATAAATTCTTTTTGTAGCCTTTAATGCTCATTTAGTCTATTTGATTCCAATTTTTAAAAAAATAATTTTTAGTTGTTGATAGACCTCAATTTTATTTATTTATATGTGGTGCCAAGAATCAAATCCAGTGCCTCTCACATGCCAGGAAAGTGTGCCACTGAGCCACAGCCACAGCCCCTTGATTCTAATTTTTTAGTATAAGAATTCTGCTAGAGTTTTCTGGTACAATAATAAGAAAATAGATATTTCTTTCTGGTAAAAAAATTTAGTACTATAATATTTTAAGAAAATATTTCTAGGGCTGAGGATATGGTAGAGTACAAGTTTAGCATGCATGAGGCCCTAGGTTTACTCTTAATTTAAGACCACACACAAAAATTTTTGTTTCTATGAGAATAATAATAATGAAGACCTAACTAAAAAACAACAACACTGTACTGTTAATGTACACTTACAATTTTCTCTTTACTTTGGACAGTTATGTCTGTACCAGCATTTATCAGAAAATGCTAATAAGATTCTAAGAGAAAAATTCTGATTCTGACTGTGTAAATGTGCTGAAATATTAGTGAGGATATGATTTCTCACACTTTGGCCTTTTGATGAAACGCCTTTCCAATACCAGTGTGTCATCTTATCCTACAATTTCACACATCAGCTGCCAGGGTATCTACCCTGAGAGCCCAGTTTCACATTGCACTAATGAGTCAACACCTGTTACAAGTGGAGAAATCTGAACCTTGTTAGCGATTGAGAAGCCTCCTGGGAGCCTGGATGCTAAGCATTGTCATACTCACCGCCAACATGTCTGTACTAAGGACCCTTGCTGCAGCCATGATAAAGTCTCCCACCAGCATTGAGAATCCAGGCAAACCCAGGGAGAAAAAGCGCGGTGGACAGTGCCTTATAATGGTATTTAAAATGTCCTAAAAGGGAAGATAAGAAAACACTATTTATTATTATTTGCATTACTGGGGATTGAACCCAGGGGCACTCTACCACTGAACTACATCCCTGAACCCTATGTATCTTTCATTTGAAACAATGTACCAATAAGTTGCGAGGCTGGCCTCAAATTTGTGATCATCTTGTCTCAGCCTCCCAAGTTGCTGGGATAACAGGCATGCACCACCAAGCCCAGCTATCACACTGTATTTTTTTTTTTTTGGTGCTGGGGATTGAACCTTATGCATACAAGACTAGCACTCTACCACCTGAGCTATATCCCCAGCCCCACAAATGTAATTTTTAAGAATAAAATTCCAAAGAAGTTTGTCTGTAAATATGACCTTTGCATATTAATCTAAAAGAATGTGGATGACAGAAATTTTTCAGTGGTGGGGTACCAAGAAATGAGATACTACAATGGTAACTGAACTTATTTTACAGGTAAGAGAATGAAGACACCAAACTGTAAGATCATCCAAAATCTAAACAGTGGAAATGGGACAAGACAGTTCTTCTATATTCCACCTAAAGGTGACTCCTTGGACAAGTTTCAGGAGTGTTGAGATATATAATATATAAATCCTATCACTAAAGAAAATTATGTTCTGCTTTTAGCCTTCAATATTTAAAAGTTAAAGCATGCTGTTTATATTAAGGGAAATTTTCACTTTCCAGGTAATTTTATACCCCAACAAACAGAAATGTATAGAGTGCCCAGGTAATGCTGTGATCACTGATGTACTAAGGTCAGAGAGTCAGTGTAGCTGTGAGGAAATGTGTGATTGCAAGGCACAGTACGCAGTGCAGCAGAAACCTTCTGTATTAAGAGCATTGTATGCCCCAGAAGCCTTGTGTCCTGTGTCTCAATGGCTGTTATTGGTGGCTAGCCACCCCAACTCCCCAACTTCCAACTCTATTCTGAGGCAGTCACCTCAGTCCTGTCTGTGACAAATCAGAGATCCACCATTGGACAGCACTCATGCCATTATAGCTAGGCCATACCTCTGAAGCCATCTGTACAAGTCTGTATATAAGAGGGTAAGTTAGAAAACCATAAACTTCATCTATGCAGTTTTTGGCCAGGAACATTAATCAAACAACCAAAGTACTATAGGCATTGACTAATAGTTATATAATCTATAGTTAGTTCCAATATATGATTAAAAAGCAAAATTAAAAAGTCTCCAGTTTCTGAGTTTTTAGCATGGCCATTGGAAAAATCCTTTAAAATAATTCTGATTTAATTGTATTAGAGCACAGTAGTAACAACATGCCAAATCCTAATACATTAACTTAAATCCCTCATAATACAAATAACCTCATTTGACAACTTACCTTCTTGAAACAGCATTTATATGTGTTCACAAAACATTTTTCCTTACATAGTAGCCTCATTTAATTTTTATAAATCATACTATTTGTATCATCAACATGACTGCACAATGTTTTATCTGTTAAAGCTTACAAATGGTAAACAGTTTATCAAATGCTAATTTAAAGTTTTGGCATTTTGGCAGAGTTTTTCCTGTGCTAAAAATAAACAAATATACAGATAGGTAGATAAGAGGAAGGAAGGAAGGAAGGGAAGAAAAGTCTGAACCATGCTTCTTCTTAGTTAATGTTTAACCTGCTTTAATCACGCCCTGTGACACACTTTAGGGTTCCTATCAGCAAAGGCAAACATTCTAAGGGGACCAGCAGATGGGTGCTGCCCTTTAGAAAGTGTGTGGTAAACTCATGCTCCAGGAGTAGAACAAAAGATCCACCTTTTTCATAATTAAGCCTCTGATTAATGCCCTGGGCTCCTCACCACACACCTGTAATTACTCACAGAGGTACGCATTGTGCTGGGCCTTGACTCAGAATATCAGACATCAAGCTATCCAGCAGCAGATGGAAGCACATTTCTGTTGACATATGCTGCTATGAAAGGATTCGTGCAAACCTGGCTAGCAAGGTAGCATAATGCCATGCATCTGAAGATTAATAATGCAAACAACCATGATGTTAACTTTGTTATGTTTGTGTTAATTCCATCTGTTGAGATGAGGAACTAAAACCCCAAAGCCTATGGGTTTTAAAAATCTTTAGCACATACTTAAATGAGCCATTTTTGCCACTGGAATTTAAAGTTTTAATTAAAAAATGCTTTTCTGGGATAGGTTTATGGGAATTAGGAACTAAATCCTTTAATAAGCTAAAGCCAGAATTTATAAATGGAATCCATCTTGCTTCATAAGATTTGTATGTGTAAAGTCAATGATCTGTAAAATGGGGCATTCAGAAAAAATTACTAAGTTGCCATGATGCTAAAGACAGCAGATATGCATGCAGCTGAGATAAAGTCACACAGCTCCCCCAGCCCCTGGACCTCAGCCAGTCACTTCAACAGAACCTGTTTCTATGGGCAAGAAGATCGGAAAGAGGACACAGTAACAGATGGTTAGCCTAACCTACTCTGCCACCCATGTTAAGAGTGCGCCCCTAGGAGAAGCAGGGCCCGTGCCACAGTCACCAAAGAGCACTGGGGTAGGGTTAATGTGGGGGTTAAAGAGGAAACTATATGAGAAGTCAGCCAAATTACAGCCACATGTCTGCTTCCTTTGCTTATCCACATTAACATGGAACAACTCAAAGATTCTACCTTTGTGACAACATTTTAATAGGAATAACCATGTGGTACTCAAAAGAGAGCAGTTTCGAACAACAACAAATTGCTCCATTCATTTCTTTTTTTTTCCTAATATTTTTTAGTTATACATGGACACAATATTTTGTTATTCATTTTTATGTGGTGCCAAGGATCGAACCTAGTGCCTCACATGTGCGAGGCAAGTACTCTGCCACTGAGCCACAACCTCGGCCTGCTCCATTCATTTCTAACTAATCATATAACTCCTTAAAAGATTATTAAGATCATAGTTGTAATTAGAATCAATCTTCAGAAATATAAAATAAAAATCTTCAGACTTTGAAACTTTCTTTGCAGCCTCTGAGGCATTATATATATGTAAGACAGACCCATACTTCCCACACATGAATCATTCATGTACAGCCCTCATGCATTTTGCCATATTCACCTCAAAGGCAAACATGATTTGCCTAATCAGTTTTCCCAGTGACTCATTTTTTTTTAACTTAAATAAAATTATTCTGAAAAATTAGTATCATTTGTCTTAGAAAATACTCCCTTAAATAAATATAATGACAGTAAATCAATGATACTGAGTTTTTGCTAAAAGTATTACTGACAGATAGTGATCTGACCAGTCTGAAGCAAGGGCCCTCCTTGTTTGAATCGTTAAGATGGTGTAAACATACTCCTCTACCTACTCCAGGTGGCCTACCTGAAAGCATCACAAGGAATGGCCAACACAAAGAAAAAGGCCATCATTCCCACTATGTTGTTCACTGCTATTTAGTGTTGCCCCAGATTTGACCATGAGCAGGAAATGCCCCTGCACTCAAACTCTGCTCTGGTGAAAAGAACTCCAAAACTGGGGCCATGAGGCCTGGGTTCACAGACATGTGTGAGACTGTAGGCAAATCATATCATGCCTGGGCTTCACATTTATCCTCCATAGAATGGGATGATTCTGTCTTAAAAACTAATATCTAACAGGATAGTAGATATGAACATATGGTTTTGTAAACTGAAAATCGTCATACAGAAGTAAATAGGGTTGTGAGTAAAACAAAAAAATCAAAAAGGGGAAGAACTCTAAGGATTTCACTATACAGAATCTACTTTATAAGTTCAATTTGTACTATTCAGCAAAAATATTACTTTTTTGATCCACACAAATTCAAGTAATATTTTAAAAACATTTCAAAGGTTGTACAAACAAGCCTCTTAGATCACACATTATCCCAGAAATTAAAAGGCTCCAGAAATTAGTGCCTTCAAACAATATTCTGAACAAGTCATTACAGCAATTATGCATCGACTATGTACTTTATAAGAAAAACAAGGAAACAAAAACACAGAAAAAGGATCATTTTAGATTTTCCAGATTTCATTCTTTTGAGGAATTCTAGCATTTATCCCAAACAAGTAAGTATGGTAGCAAGAATTAGTTTCTTTTCCACTCTAAACAGACTCAAACAATAAAATAAAACAATAAGTTCAATGGTAAATGGAGTATAAAACAGGAATTAAGTTTATCCTTTAAAGTTGACCAGTCTGAAGCACAGACAAAATTCTTGCATATGCTTTTTGTTCAAAGGAAATAGTCATGAAAAATATTGTAACATGGTGAAAAGGACACCAAACTAGTATTTTTCTCTTGTTTTGGTGAAAAGTCCATGTGCATACTACATACTGAGAGTGAAAAGCTAGACTGTAAAATGATAATTGTGAATTTGTAGCTTATCAAAAGATACGGGTTTATGAGAAAGTGACTGGTGAGAACATCTGTCTCTTATCACTGATCTTGCAAAAAATCAGGTAATTCAAATAGAGGCGTGTTGTTTCCTATCCTCCAAAGCACAGTTCTATAAACACAAACCACATTCAGCCCGGTAAATGAATCGCTTTAATTGAATGCTATGTACACAGTAACTGGAAAAACCATAAGCGATAAGAAAAACATATGGTGATGGCAACAGAAATTGGTTTATTCATTTTGCATAGTGTTGTTTCTTTAGTTCTTTTATAATTGACCTTTAGAACGATAAATGTGTAAAATAATTTTGTTTATTATGGCTCCAAACCTTCCAACAATTACACAAAATGAAAATTTAAAAGGAAGGATTCATTCTGGAAGCATTTCCATTGTTTACATAATTGCACAGCTATAATTTAGTGCTCATGTTGTTATGGAAAATAAAAAAAGGGCCATTATGGGCCATTTCAATTCAAAATATTGCACAGTGGTGTCAAAAAATGGGGGAAAATGTTCACTTTAAAACAGTTTAAAATGGATTAGCCCTATAAATAAAAACATTTCAATATAGTATCCTATGAAATACAAATGTT